TGGGACACCATCATCATCATCAGCAAGATCACGTCATCATCATCGGGACACCATCATCATCAGCAACATCATCATCTGTAACATCATCATTTGGACACCATCATCACCACCACCATCACCACCATCATCTTCATCATCATCAACATCGTCAACATCATCATCATCGGGACACCATCATCACCACCACCACCATCATCATCATCATCGTCAACATCATCGACATCATCATTATCATCATCACCATCATCTTCATCATCGGGACACCGACGGCACACCGGCGGGACACCGCGCGGCACCGGCCTCTGGAAGGGAAACATTAGGTCCGGCCGCGCCTCAGCCAGAGGCGGGACACCGATGGGACACCGCGCGGCACGGGCCCCCGGAAAGGAAACATGTGGTCCGGCCGCGCCTTAGCCGGAGGAGACTTTCTTTGCGCCCGCCCACGCAGTTAAGCCTCGCCCGCACGCACGGCACGCACGAACACGAAACCGAAACCGATTTCCCTGTAGGGGGGCTCTCCGTTCCACTTCGATCTCACCCCCTCACCTCCGATCATTAGTAGTAGTCGTAGTAGGAGTAGCCGTCACAGCCGCAGTCGTAGTAGTAGTAATGGCAGTAGTTGTTGTAGTAGTAGGATTAGGAGTATTCGTGGCATTCGTAGTCGTAGTTTTAGTAGTAGCGGTGCAAGAGGTAGTAGAACTTGTTGTAGGTATATCATTTGTGGTAGTACTTGTACCAGCGTTTGTAGTAGTCGTGTTGGTGATCGTAATAACCATAGAAGTAGTATATAGTAGGAGCAGAAGGAGTAGTTGTGGTGGGAGTCGTAGTAGGAGTCGTATCAGTAGTATGACTAAGTGTTGTAGTGGTAGTGGTAGTAATACTAGTACTAGTAGTCGTAGTAGTAGTAGTAGTAGTAGTAGTAGTCGTCGTAGTAGTCGTAGTAGTAGTAGTATTAGTAAAAGTAGTAGTAGTAGTAGTAGTAGGAGTAGTAGTAGTAGTAGTAATAATAATAGTATCAACAGCAGTAGTAGTAGTAGTAGTAGTAGTAGTAGTAGTAGTAGTAGTAGTCGTAGTAGTAGTAGTAGTAGTAGTAGTAGTAGTAATAGTAGTAGTAGTAGTAGTAGTAGTAGTAGTGGTAGTAGTAGTAGTAGTAGTAGTAGTAGTAGTAGTAGTAGTTGGTGGTGGTGGTGGTGGTGGTGGTGGTGGTGGTGGTGGTGGTGGTGGTGGTGGTGGTGGTGGTAGTAGTAGTACTACTACTACTACTAGAGATAGTAGTAGTAACAGTGGTTGTAGTATTAGTAGTAGCAGTAGCCGTAGCACTAGGAGTCTATAGTAGTAGCAGTAGCCGTACGACTCGAAGCATGAGTTTAAAGACTAATAGTAGAGTTAGTGGTATTAGTAGTAGAGGTAGTCGTACAGTTTGTAGTAGGTGGTAGCAGTTGTAGTTGTAGTCGTAGTCGTAACCGTACTAGGTGTAGTAGTAGCATTCGTAGTCGCATTCATGTTCGTAGTAGTAGTCGTAGCAGTACTTGTAGCAGTTGTGGTAGTAGTAGTATTAGTAGTAATAGTAGTAGTAGTAGTAGTAGTAGTAGTAGTAGTAGTAGTAGTAGTAGTAGTAGTATTAGTAGTAGTAGTAGTAGTAGTCGTAGTAGCAGTCGTCGCCGTAGTCGTCGTAGTAGTCGTAGTAATATAATGTGTTGCAGTAGGTGTGGTAGTAGTAGCAGTAAGAGCAGCATTTGTAGCAGTAGTAGTCGTAGTAGCAATAGTAGTAGTAGTAGTAGTAGTAGTCGTAGTAGTAGTAGTAGTAGTAGTAGTAGTAGTAGTAGTAGTAATAGTAGTAGTAAGAGTAGTAGTATTAGTAGTAGTAATAGTAGTAGTAGTAGTACTACTACTACTAGTAGTAGTAGTAGTAGTAGTAGTAGTCGTAGTCGTAGTAGTAGTAGTAGTAGTAGTAGTAGTAGTAGTAGGTGTTGTTGTTGTTGTTGTTCCAGTACTACTAGTACTAGTAGTACTAGTAGTACTCGTCGTCTTAATAGTACTAGTAGTACTAGTAGTACTAGTAGTACTAGTAGTACTAGTAGTACTAGTAGTACTAGTAGTAGTAGGTCCCATAGAACTCCTATACATGTCCCAGTAGGTCCTATAGAGCCCCTAATAGATGAGTCCTATAGAGGCCCTAGTAGAGTGCCCAAATTGGTCCTATAGAGCCCCTAATAGAATGCCCAGTGGGCCCCATAGAGCCACTAAAATGTGCCCAGTGGGTCCGATAGAGCCCCTATACAATTCCCAGTAGGTCATGTAGAGCCCCTATAGAATTCCCAGTAGGTCATCTAGACCCCTTCATACATGTCCCAGTAGCTCTTATAGAGCCCCTATACATGTCCCAGTAGGTTATAGATGTCAGAGGAGCAGCTCGCTCGGCTGGTGCGCACATCGAAGTTCTGCACAGGATCTCAGCGGGATGCTCTTAGCCATTCGTTTACAAAGCCCTATGGTGGCAGCGGACGTTGCGTGCGGAGTTGCGGTTGCGCACCCCCCCACCCCCCCCCTCGCAACTGGGGGCAGGGCATTGAAGCCCGGGCCTCGCCACAGGGGGAAGACCGGAAACCTAGCGCCCTGGGGGGCGGGGCAGCAGGAACCCGGCCTTACCTGGTTGTTGCCGTTCTTATGGTTATGTTGTTGTTGTTGTTGTTTCCCGGCCCGCCCGTCTGGTTCTGCCGTTTCTTTTTCTGCTCCTAACCACCTCCTGCTAATCTCTCTCGTGCTCCATCCTTCTCCCGCCGGCTTGTCCCTACCCTCTCCTTGTCTTAAGGGTTGCGCCGGTTGTTCATGGCAGGTAAGGATTGTATACCCCCAAGGATGATCGAAGACGAAGAGGGCGGGTTTCGATGGATCGGGATACGGTAGGTTTGCGACGTGTCGACCAGCGGCGACCCCAGCGCGGGCGTTCAAGGTTGAACGCCGCCGGCGGCCCCCCAGAATCGGTCGATGTTGAACGATCGGACGTTGCGGCAGCGGCCGATCGTTCAAGGTTGAACGATCCCTGCGGTGTCAAAAACCAATGCTGGGGTCGGCACGACACGAACCTGCCGTAGACATGTTGAGTGTCACGCAAGCAGATAAGAGCCAACAGTCTCAAGATGATTGTCGTTGCTGTTGGTGTCGTCGTCCCAGCCGCGACCCACCCCTCGACCCGGCCTGCGACACACCGCGCGACCCACCCACGACCCACCCACGGCCCACCCATGACCCACATGCGACCCACCCTCGACCCACACACGATGCTTCGACGAGAAAATCTGCGCCTGCGGCGGGCCCGTCTGTGAAATGTGATAACACATCGACTTTTGTGGCGGGCTTCTTCAGGGCCCAGCTGGCTCCCGACCACCCCGCCGCCCCCTCACTTTTATCCGCAATTGCGGGGTCCTGCGTATGCTCCTTCCCGCAGCTGGTTTTCTGCACACCATCGCAGTTCCCCAAGAAGCAGTGTAGACCGGGGACGCACCATGGCCATGGTGGCAGGTGCTCAGATTGCAAGTGCGGGCCTGAGCGTTCGCAGTTGGATGCAGAAATGGCGCCTCGCTTGGTGCGGGGAGCGGGGGAGGGCAAGCATGACAGCAACATCGGCAACGCTTCGGTCGGGAATTTTTGGATGGCGTGTCGGTCCACCAGTTCTGACCAATCACGGTTGGGAGCGACACGCTATCCTTTTCCCGGTCCCCGAGCGTCGATGTCCCGAGCTTCTCTTCGCAACCCTCCCCGCGGAGCGGAGCGACACGGCACCCGCTCGCAAGGCAGAGGTTGTCGTCGGGGCCGCCGCCGCGACACGCTGCGCAAACGTCCCCGACCGTGTGCGTGCTTCTCTTTCTATGCCTCTGTCGACGGGGGGGAGGGCGGATGCCGCCGCGCGCGGAATCCCCGCGCGGCCTCGCAGATCGCCCGCGGCACGCGCGCCGCCGCTGGCGGCGGCCGCGGCGAGGTCGAGTTCCTCCGCTCCTTCAGCGATCGCCTCGGCGCCAGGGCCGTGCCCGCGTCGGCGGCTGGCGCGGGAGAGGAGGCCGCCGACGGGGAGGCCCGCGGAGGGGGGGGGGGCGGGGCGCGGTGGGCGGGGCGGTGAGCGGCGTTTTTTTTTGTTTATATTTATATGTATATATATATATATATATATATATATATATATATATAACATGGGGGCCTGGTAAACCCTCGCAACTCCGTCTTTAGAGTCGATTGGCGTGGATATCGCGTCTGGAGTCGATGAGTTAGCGCCGATTTAGCGTCGGCGAGCGTCGATTCAGCGTCGATTCGCTTCGATCTAGCGTCGACTGGCTTCGACTCGCAGGAGCAGACAAGATGGCCCGGGAGCCGACACGATGGTCTGGGAGGCTCCCCTGAGTCGCCACCGAAGGCTCCGAGGAGGCGGGGAGAGGAGGCAGGTGAGCGCTCAGCATTTCTGCACCAACTCAGGAGGGGACAAAAACACAGACACCATTAATCGTCGATTCCCAGGAAAATATTGGGAAATATGGGAAGTGTGGCGGGAGACGAAAACCCAGAAAATATATGAAAATGTAGGGAATCCTTTTATTTGTGTGTATTGATTTGTGCGTCCCAGGGCCCCTTCACCAACCCTCAGCCCCAGCCCCAGCCCAATCCAGACCTCCACCATCTCAGCACCCCAGTTGGGGGTATACCCTTCCAATCCGAGAGGGAGCAGCCCACATCCTCATCCAGGGGAGGTCATCGGCCAGTGGGGCCTAGGCCACGCCAATGGGGATAGGAGTCGGTTAAACGACGCTCAGGGCGCGTTGGGTGGGGGGATCGGCGGCGCGGGGAATCCGAGGGGCGGTGGCGGGGGGGGGGAAGGGAGAGGGCTATTTCCAGATATCTCTGGTACCTAAACGACCACCCTTCGTGTGATAAGGAGGTCGGGGGGGTGGGGGGAAAGATCTAACTGCTGGCAAATACGACGGGTGTGTTGATGACGATGTTGGTCACGCGCCCTCGAGTTAGGGACGACGCGTGATGACGATGCTGCGCTGCGATGTAATGCCACTGCTGTTTTCACTATCGATCTCGCTTTCGATTCCACTATCGACCTCACTATCGATTACACTATCGATTCCTCGATCGATCTCATTTTCGAGCTCACAACCACTGTCACAATCAACCTTACTGTCGATCTCACTCTTGATCTCGCTATCCATTCCATTCTAGCGATCTCACTATCGATCTCACTAACTATCGCCTTCACCATCGATACCAAGGCGTGGCACCCCCGGCTACCGCCCACCCACCGCCGACAGAACACCGACGGGACACCAGCGGGACACCAACGGGACACCACAAAACACCACTGCGGGACACACCGGGCCACTGCGCGCCCACTGGTGGCGGAGTGGCGGTTCCCTGCATGCATTCGAATCGCCTTCGCGACGGCGGGGTCATTCCTCTCGCGCGCCCACGCAGCTTCGCCCGCACGCACGACGCGAACACGAAGCCGAAACCGATTTCCTGGTTGGGAGTTCTCCGTCCCATTGCGACGTCACCCCCCAACCTCCGGTAGCGATCGTTACCCGTGAAGGGGGGAGGGGGGGTGTTCGGTGGCAAATCGTGGGAGCCTGGTATACCCTCGCAAATCCGTCTTAAGCGTCGGCTAGCGTCGATTAGCGCCTGGAGTCGATGAGATAGCGCCGATTTAGCGTCGGCGAGCGTCGATTTAGCGTTGACTAGCGTCGATTTAGCGTCGACTGGCGTCGATTCGCAGGGGCCGACAAGATGGCATGGGAGGCTCCCGTGAGTTGCCACCGAAGGGGAGCGGGGGCGGGTAACGTCAACGCTGGGGCGCGGTGGTGCACGTCGGGGCGGGGGTGCGCGCTGCGATCGCCACGGTGTGTGCGCGGGCACCAGCATGTGGAGGGGGGCAGGTTGTTCCCTACGTACACTTGGTAGCGTTGAGTCGGGCCTGTCCCTCTACAGGCCGAATATTCAAGAATAATCAAAACATAGTTTACGATCGATTCTGATATTATATTTGCACTATGTTTGGGTACGTGTTGAGTCGTTTTAGTTTTTCTTCCAGAGTCCGCCTGCAGGAGGACATGCTCGACCTAATGATAGCGTTACCCCAGGGGGGGCGGGTAACGACCGTGACGCTCCAGAGGACAAACCGAACAATCGTGGGGAGGGAATGGGAGAGGAGGACGGGGAGGGTGGGGGGAGGCAAGATCAGGCGGGGAGGGTGGGGGTGGGAGGCAGGATCAGGAGGGGAGGGCGAGGAGGACGGCGAGGGTGGGGGGGCAGGGCGGGGGAGGGCGGGGGCCCGGGGGGCCGGAGGTCCGCGCGGATTTGTTTCGGACTACGCACAAGCGCAACGGCGCGCTCGCCAGGAGCACGTCGAGGAGGCGCTGGCGGAGCGGGTACAGGAAGGGCGCAGTCCGCCGCCGCCCTGAGCCCCTGGTCTTGGCATCGCTCGGACGTGTGCGTTTTTCCTTCGGCGAGGACCATCGAGGAGCATCCTTGATCACTTGGCGAAAAAATCCACGCACGAAACCGAAAACAGCACAGAGGTAGGACGTCCGAGCGATGGCCAGTGGTCGGATAACACTCACTGACGTTTGCACGACAGCTCGGAGGTCCTCGCGGATTTTCTCGGGTCGGCGCTGGAGCCCCTTGGAGGCGCCTCCAACGCCGCCCCCTGGCGCGCTCCGCGCGCCAGGGAGGAGGGTGCAGCGCCGATCGAGAAATCCGCGCGGACCTCCGAGTCTCCAAGGTTTTGATCCATCTATATATATATATATATATAGATGTATAGGCATACCCATTGATCCATACATGTGTCTATGTATGTATGTATGCATGTATGTATGTATGTATGTATGTATGTATGAATGAATGAATGAATGAATGAATGTACGTACGTACGTACGTACGTACGTACGTATGTATGTATGTATGAATGTATGTATGCATGCATGCATGCATGCATGCATGCATGTATGTATGTATGTATGTATGTATGTATGTATGTGTGTATGTATGTATGCCTGTATGCATGTATGCGTGTATGGTTGGTTGTATGTGTGTATGTATGTATGTATATATGCATGCATGCATGTATGACTGTATATATGACTGTCTGTATGTATGTACGTACGTGCGTACGTACGTATGCAGATATGTTATGTATTAGTGTATGTTTGTGCATATATAGATGCTGCTCCAGAGCCAGCCCCCACCACAAGGTGCAGTAAGTGCGCGCTCCAGTCCCCCGCTCCCTCCTGTCGAAACAGGGATCGGGCCATTCCGAAACAACCAGCCTGGCGAAGCACCCAACCATATGCAGTTGTGAGTACACCGTCGTTGTGTATCGCATTCGATGGATCTCCTTACGGGCCACGAAGCGCGTGAAGGGTGTGCCGAAATGTGGCGGGGCCACCATGCGGGCGCTGCAAGTGGGGCCTTCGAGCATCGCGAGGACAATTATATGAAAGAGGGGGCTAGCAACAGGGGTCACTGGGGCCTTCGGTGGAGCTCATTATGTAGCCACGATGCGTGTAAGCGACGTGCCGAAATTCAGGGCTGGACCGCCTGCGGGCGCTGCCACCTGAGCCTTAGGTGGAGCTCCCTATGGCATAGCCCGATTGGGCCACGGAACGTGTGATGGGAGTCGCCGAGATGGAAGGTGGAACCCCATGCGGGCGTTGCCATTGGGGCGTTCGGTGGAGCTCCCTATGGGGTCATTAGGCGCGTGAGGGGTGCACCGAAATGGGGGGTGGAATTGCATGCGGGCGCTGCCGCTATGGCCTTAGGCGGCGCTCTCCATGGGGAAGCATGTGAGAGGTGCACCGACATGGAGGGCGGAATTGCATGCTGGCGTTGCCATTTAATCTTTGGTGGAGCTCCCTATGGGGTCGCGCAGCGTGTGAGGGGTGTGCCGAAATTGAGGGTAGAACTACATGCTGGCGCTGCCACTGGGGGCCTTCGGTGGCGCTCCCCCTGGGGCCACGAAACGTTTGATGGGGTGTGCCGACATGGAGTGTGTAACCGCATGCGGGCGCTGCTCCTGGGGCCTTCGGTGGAGCTCCCTATGGGGCCACGAAGCGTGTGAAGAGTTTGCTGGGATGGAGGGTGGAACTGCATGCGGGCACTGTCACTGGGGCCTTAGGTGGCGCTCCCCCTGGGGCCACGAAACGTGTGTTTTGGGGTACACCAACATGTGGGTGGAATTGCATGCGGGCGCTGTCGCTGGGGCCTGTGGTGGAGCTCCTTATGGGGCCACGGAACTTGTGAGGGGTGTGCCGAATTGGAGGGTGGAACCGCGTGCGGGCGCTGCCACTGAGGCCTTCGGTGGAGCTTTATATGGGTCCACGAAGCGTGTGAGGGGTGCATCGGAATGAGGGTGGAACTGCATATGGGCGCTGCCACTGGGAACTTGAGTGAATCTCCGTTCGGGGCCACGACACGTGGGATGGGTGTGCCGAAACGCAGGGTGGAATTGCATGTTGTTGTTGCTATTGGGGCCTTCGGTGGAGCTCCCTATGGGGCCACGAAGCGTGTGAGGGGTGTGCCGAAATGGGCGTCGAACCGCGTGCGGGCACTGCGACTAGTGCCTTCGGTGGAGCTCCTCATAGGGCAACGACGCGTGTGAGGGATGCACCAACATTGGGGTGGAATTGTATGCGGGCGCTGCCACTGGGGCCTTCGGTGGAGCTCCGTATGGGGCCTCGGAACGTGTGAGGTGTGTGTGTGTGTGTGCCGAAGCAGTGACACGGGGAGGGTCAAAGGGTGAAGGCAGGGATGCGATGGGAGAAGGAGGGGGGGAGGAGGGGGCAGCGGGAGGAGGGAGAACGCGGGGCGTTGTCTCTTCAAGACGAGGGCCCAACATCACAGGACGGTTGGGAATTACGATGATGACGGTGATGATGAGGATGCGGAGGAGGAGGAGCAGGAGGAGGAGGAGGAGGAGGAGGAGGAGGGGGAGGAGGAGGAGGAGGAGGAGGAGGAGGAGGAGGAGGATGCTGATGATGGAGGAGGAAGGAGGGGAGGAGGAGAGGAGGAGTGACGCGGGGCGCTGTCTCTTCAACACGAGAGCCCAACACCATGGGATGGTTGGGAACGTGATTCCTGCGAAGGGTCGGGGTGGGGCTGCTCTTCCTCGGCGGAAGGACGCCGGAGGACGGCAGATGCAAGAACGGGGCGGCTCCGCTGGCGGAGGGCGGTGGGAGTCGGGGCGTCTATCCCAAGGGGTGCAAACGTTTTAGATGCACGGCTTCTGGAAAGAGCCACACGGCTTGCACACTTCCGCTACGTGCGACCGTCTATACGTGGCCCCGCGCGAGCCTCCTGTAAGGGGGGGGGGTGCGGGATCGAGCCTGGGGGATGTCCGAAGAATAACTCCTGTGACACAAGTGGGGTGCGGTTCGGGCCTCTGGGGTGACGGTGCGACGATGCGGCCGGCGGTTTTTCCATGATTCGTTTCGGCAGTTGTGCGGGAGTGGCAGCGCGCCCTCGTCAAGGGGGCGTCGCGGTCGCTGCGGCGATGTCGCCGCTCTAATTGTTTGAATGTGCTTGGTTGCGGTATCTGTTATCAGGAACGGCTTTGCCAATTGGTTCTTTCAAATTCTTCTGCAAAGCTCGGGTGGGCGTTCGATTTCCACAGCCGATTTTTCCATCGTGTCTGTCGGCCCACCTTCAGGGGGTTGCGTCATAGTGAGGAATACCGATTGGGTGAGCCCAGGGTGGTTCAGAACTGTGTGCACCAGGGGCGTGGGCCAAAAGTGATCTGCCTATCCGAGAGCATCTCTGATACCATCTCAGGCCAAACAACTCTTTGCTCAAAAGCATGAGGTCTGTCAACATCCGTTTTTGCTATCTCAGACCAAACAGCTCTTTGGTCAAAAGCATGGCGTCTGCCAGCATTCGGTTTTGCTTCCAGGTGTCCTGTGGATCAGGGGGGAGACGGGACGCACATGTGAGCAGGGGCGGCTGAAAAGGGACAAGGGGCCGTGTGAAGTACAAAACGAGGGGCTATGAAGGATACGAGAGGAGATAAGGGGAGGGGAGAGGGTACTGACGGGGGATGCTTTTTCACCATGCGCCGTTCCCGGCGCGCCGTTACGCTTCCTTTACGCAGCACTTGAATGTACCCCTCCACAACGCTCCAGCTCGCGCACTGCACGCCATGGATCCCCCTAAGCGTCAGTTTCTCAGATTTGACACGCATGTGCTGCCAGTCTTTGCGGCCCACACTAAAAGCGACGTGTACGCGTAATCCGTCAGGGCTGTAGGTTTGTCGCGCAGGGTGGTTTGTCTTCTGGCTACTGCCCCACGTCATCCTTCCCAACTCATGCTTGCGGATAGCCATTGCCGAGCATTGGCACGTTCTTCATAGCTGCGGGACAGTGGCGCTGTTGTGCAACAGTCAGAGGGTAGGGACAGAAGGGGGAGCGCGTGCGTGCGGGGCGAGGGAAGGAAGCGGGCGGGAGGAAGAAGGCGGGAGGGATCGAGGAAGGGAGGGAGGGGGGGGGGGGGGAGACGGAGATCCCGAGAGAGGGAGATAGAGAGCGGGAGGGAGACAGAAACACGGACACAGACACAGACAGGGACACAGGCAGAAATTGGGGACAGGCTGGTGAGGAGCGGAGAAGAGACGTGCGAGGAAGGGGAGGAGAGGAGGAGGAGGAGCGGGAGGCGGGAAGCGCGGGGAGACGCTGGGAGGAGCGGGGAGGAAGGCGCGATGGGGAGGGCGAGGGCGAGGGCGAGGGTGAGGCAGGAAGGGGGGCGGGGTCCTCGGCGGGGAGGGGGTCAGGAGAAGGGGCTCCCCTCCCGCCCCTCCCTCCCCTCCCTCCCTTCCCTCCCTCTCCTCCCCTCCCTCCCCCTCCCTCCCTCCCTCCCTCCCCTCCCTCCCTCCCTCCCTCCCCTCCCCTCCGGAGGGAGGGACCTCGTGGGCGCGAGTGCCCTGCGAGGACGAGCAGGCCAACGTCGAGGAGGGAGCCGTCGCGCTGCCGATCCTCCTGCTGGACACGGTGATACTGCCGACGAAGGCGCAGGGAGAGCCAGCCAGACTGCCTCGGGTCATGGACAGCCATACGACGGGAGGTTTTCGCTATTTTCGGCCGCGGGGGGGGTGGGGCCTGACCGGGCTCTGGGGCCGTCAAAAAACGGCTCGGGATGAAAACCGGATCCCAGGGAATGGGTCGAGATGTTTGGGGGTCGACGTTATGAGAAAACAAAGGATCTGACATCGGGGGTTCTTTGGTGGGCGTCCTCGGTTCGGTGTGTCTGGCTCGCGTCGCTCTGAGCGCGCTCTGGCTGTTCACGGCCTTCTCGTCCCGATTGCCGTTTCCTCCTCGTCGTCGTCGTCCTCCTCCTCCTCCTCCTCCTCCTTCTCCTTCTCCTCCTCCTCCTCCTCCTCCTCCTCCTCCTCCTCCTCCTCCTCCTCCTCCCCCTCCTCCTCCTCCTCCCTCTCGTCGCTCTGTTTCCTCTTCCTCCTTGCCTTCCTTGCCGCCCTCGTGCCCGATGCGCACCGCAGCAGCGCTGCCGAAGCCACGGCCACGGCTTGGATCCGAGGTGCCGCCGATCCCAAAAGGCCGGGCCTGCGTCGCCGTCGGCTGTGCTCGGCCGGCTCGACTCGGCCGGGCGTCGTGCCGCTGCTGCGTCGCGGCGCCCCATCCGTGGTGCCTGCGGTCCGTCAGCTTCGGTGTCGCTGCTGGTTTGGGGTCGGTTCGCGGCGGTGCTGTCGCCGTTTTTGGCGGCTGGAGCACAAGGTGAAAGGGGGGGCGGCGGGGGGCTTGCGGGAGGCGGTGCAGCGCGGGCGCGGGCGCGGGCAGCGAGGGGTGGTTGGCATTTCTGTGGTTCTTGATGCTGGTGTTGATCAGTCGGTTTCGAGGCGTGCTCCTGCTTCGTAGCCTGCCTTCCAGGGCATCGTGCTCGGCCCGACTCTCTGTCGCCGTCGCTGTCGCCGAGGGTCGCGGGAGGAGGGGAGGGGGAGGGGTGCGGAAGATACGTTCGTCCGCCTCCGGAGTGGCGGGTGGAAGTGGGGAGAGAGAGAGTCGCCGAGGGCCCGCTTAGACTGAGTGGGGACCACACCGCGTGGTGAGTCCGTGGGGATTCCGGGCCACCGCGCGGCTTTGCAACTCGGATCTTTCTCCGAGGGTGTCTCTCGGGCGACCAGGGCACAGAGTCCCCCAAAAGCGTACGGTGTCGGACGGCGCGGTGAGGTCTCTCCCAAGGCAGCGCCCTTCGCAAGCTGGCTGCAAGCGCCCAGGTGCTTCCTCGGCCGGCTGCCTCCCGGGCTCGGGGGAAGCGCCAGGGCTCTCCTCTCCGCCTCCCCGTCTCCGCCGCTCTTCGCCCCGGCAGGGAGTCCAAGTTCCCGCCGCCCGGCCTGTCAGCGCTGGCTTCTATAAGGTTTGTGGAAGACGATCAGCGGAGAGTAGGCATGATGCCAAGTAAGCTCCAGACTTGAGCAAGCTGCTTGGAACATGGTCCAGACGCCCTAAAGCCTGTTTCAAACATGTCTGGTACAATCTGGACGCAGCGAAAACACATCTCGCGTTCATGTATCGGGGTCTTAGAGTGGTCATTGCCCTGGCATCCACAGCCTTCAGGTTGATCCTCCGAATACGAAGATGGCGTCACGGAGGGTGGCACCGCCGCCCCTCCGAGATCGAGCGGGCGATCTGCCCGGGGCTCCGGCCTGGGGTCGTTGCGTGGCGTGCTCTGGTCTGTTCGGGGGGCCTCCAAGACCCTACAGTCGGGGCCCTGAAGAAGGAACCCTTTTGGTTGGGGAGGGGCCCCGTGTTCCTGAAGTGTTTCACAGCTTGCCCCACATTTTCCTTATGTTTTCGATAGGAAGTCGAAGTTCAACTCGTGGGAAAAAGGGGCCTCGTTCCTTATGTAGGGTTCCTTAGGTCAACGCCCCGACTGTAAGTAGAGGGTCGACTACAGAATTCACTTACCCCAGAATTGTTTTTTTTGTCCGCCGAGCCTACGGGAAAGACACAGAGCGCTCCGTAGACCTACGGGGCATTCTGCGCATGTCGCTGAAGATTCCACGAAACGACTCACGTTTGGGCATACAGTGAGCGGCTTGAATAAGGAACACTTACTTTTCAAAAGGGGCTCGGTCGTTCCTTAGGTTTTACATGCGTTGTTTACAGTTCCTTATGCGTTATTTGTTATTGATCGTTCCTTATGCGTTATTCCTTGGGATATAAAAAGGGGCTTCGTTCCTTGGGTCAGGCCTTAGGTCAGGCCGATGCCTGTATACATCATGTCTGCAGTCAACCCCCTACTCGAAGACCGCGTGGCGACGGACCGCGCTGCGATTTCGACTCACCGCGCGGCCCGTCGCCGCAGAGGTCCGAGGCCTTCATTGTTCCGATGCGGGGTCCCGCTACGGGGTCCCCGGGAGTCCCGACCCCATCCCCGAGGCCGGTATCTCATCCCGAGTCGATTCTTGACGGTCCAGGGGTTCGGCACAAAAACATCCTCTTGAGGTGTCGTTTCGCAGCGCGAGCGTGTCCGTCGTGGGCGAACACACACACACACACACAAACACACACACACACGCACGCACGCACGCACGCACGCACGCACGCACGCACGCACGCACACACGCACGCACGCACACACACACACACACACAAACACACACACACACACACACACACACACACACACACGCACACACACGCACACACACAGACACACACACACACACACACGCACGCACGCACGCACGCACGCACGCACGCACACCATACCACACACACACGCACACACACAACACACACGCAACACACACAACACACACACACACACACACACACATCCGTATCGGCGGCATCGCGGGCCGGGCCCTTGGGCCTGGGCCGCGACCCCGATGTTTTCGCAGATGCCCCGCGCGGAGCGAATTTTGTGCGACCCCGCAGGCGCGGGATCGCGCCCAAGAATCCAGACCGCGAGTGCGCGGATATGCATCCATGCGCCGATCATGAGTCCGAAGCCAGCAGGCGCCCCCAATACAGGCCCAAGAGGGCTCCAAGAAGGCCCCAGATGTTTCCACGCTTGGAAAGAAGACCAACAGAGGACACGACAAGCATCACGCGTTTTGCTTTCATTTGGGCCCAAGAGGCCCCAAGAGGCCCCCAAATGGCCCCCATGAGGCCCCCTAGAGGCCCCCAAGAGGTCCTCAAGAGACCTCCATGAGTGCTCCAAGAGGCCGCAGGAGGCTTCCAAGAAGCTTCCTAGAGGCGCCCAAGAGGCCCATCGGTCTGCCGTGCTTGTCTGGTTGGCCGTGGGCCCCAGAAGCCTCAAGAGGCCCGCAAGCGGCCCCCGAGGAGGCCTCCATTTGGCCTCGAAGTTGTCCCGAAGAAGCGTGCCAGAGCGCCCCAACAGGCCCTCAAGTGGCCTCCAGGTGAGAACGGTAGATCAGCACGGCGGCAGACGATGACGACAAACGGACGCGGCAGACCAGCACGGCAGACAAGCATGATCTCCTCGCACCTACCTTGGTGATGCTCTCTCACCCCTCTGTCTCTCTCCCTGTCCATCTTGCTCGCTCTATGTCTCGGCGTTCTGCCTCGCTCAGTCGAGTATCATGGCTTAGGCGAGGGGGGGGTGTCTTGCGGCGTGGGGAAGGGGGAGGGGTACTTTTCTGCCGGGACTGGGAGTAAAGGGGTTGGGATCTGGACAGGGATCACTCGATATACCATCTGCCATCTGCGCCCAGAGAGCTCATAGGACTTCAATACACAGTGGACGGGCGTGCAGTGTTCTACGCTCTGGTGTGGTGTGTAGGTTTCGGCTTTGTGGGCGGGATTGGTCCGCGGCCAGACCACTTGTAGGAAAGCGTGGTTCGTGCTTTGTGCAATTCGTTGTGTCGTTTTCGCTCGACTCATTGGCAGAGTTGAAATGTGAGAACGCGAGGTTCGTGATGTCCCACAGTTGTTTCCGCGCGCGCTGGGTGTCACAAAAACCATGTTCACTGCCACGCCGTGACGTGCACCAGCAAAGCCGGTAGCCTGGCCTCGGGAACACCGGAGCGTGCCACCAGCGAGACGTACTGCTCCTCGGGAGCCTGCCGAGGTAAGCAACAGCGGACTCCGTGCCGCCCCGCCCATCCCCCCTCCCCCTCCACTCGGGGCGCTCCAGGCAGGGCCTCGCCCCCGAGGGCCCCAGGAGCTGCCGCCCCTGCCTCGGCGGAGGGCTGGCGGCGGAAGCAGCACGAGGCCGCCTCCTCCTCCTCCTCCTCCCCCTCCTCCTCCTCCCCCTCCTCCTCCTCCTCCTCCTCCTCCTCCCCCTCCTCCTCCTCCTCCTCCTCCTCCTCCTCCTCCTCCTCCTCCTCCTCCTCCTCCTGGTCCTCCGCAGCCTGGAGGCGTCTGGGGCTGGCGGCGGCGGGGGGCGGCCGCCCGCCAGCCGCAGGCCAAGGAAACGAGACAATGCGCCCCCGAGACGTGGCAAGGTCATTTTGCTTCACGGCTTCCAGGACTGGCTCCTCGTCCATCGTCACGAGTGCAGGCGCACCTGGTCCAGGCCTCCCAGGTAGGGCCGGCGTCGATGGGGTCGGAGGATCGCGCCGCATCGCCGATGCATCGGCGATGCGGCTCGATGCGGAGCCCGATTTTCTCCACGCCGACGCATCGCCGACGCCGCCGATGCATCGTCCATGCGTCGGCGACGCATCGGCGATGCGGCGCGGTCCTCCGGCCCCACCCACGCGGACACCATCTCGGAGGCCTTGAGCTGCAGGCTTGGAGGCGGGGGGGGGGGAGCAGGGGCGTGCTCACGGGGCGACGGGGGCGTCGCGAGCGCGTGCTCCCGTCCTCCCATGCGGCGCAGGCCTTGCCGGCGGACACCCTGCCCCTGCAGGAGCGGGCCCATCCACCGGCTCTCGGCGGCGTGGGAGGAGAGGGAGAGAAATGATAAATGAGAGGTGATGGGCCAAGTTTCCGCCGCCGCTACTATATGCAGGACGGGGGAGAAGGGAGGATGGGGAGGTCCTCCTCCTCTCCTCCTTCTTCTTTTTCTTCTTCTGTTTGCGTTGCTCGGACTTAGTGCTATAGCTCCTCCTCCTTCTCCTACCTGCGGTAGTGGCGGTGGGAAATCAGCCCATCAAGATGGGACGGGGAACTGGCGAGCGAGCGAGTGAGGGGAAAGAAGGGTGAGAGCAGGTTAGGGGGCCAGGACGAGGAGGCGGCATTAGGGGGACCGCGTTCCCCGAGATCCCAAAGGTAGCACGATCTCCTCGCGTACCCAGTCACATTGTCTTCCGTTCGCTCTACGTGGGCTGGTCTTGCTGGCGACGAGCAGTGGATCCCACGTGATGATTCGAAGACATGATTGATCTGCATATGATGGGCTACTCGTCGCAATCGCGCACCACTTGCTGCTGATATTCCGCACTGGCCATTACCTCGGGCCAAAGGTCCTACCCATACCTAGCCCAGCTCAGGGTGCAAAGCCAATGTAGTTGCATGTTATTTCTATGTGTCGTTCGTTCTTGTGTTGGCCCCCAGAAGCGCATGTTTATGGTGGCTGGCAGTTCAAGATGTTTGCATACCCTCGGTCGTATGATGTTGTTTATGTTCAGCGCGGTTGAACTGGATGCATTCTCTGTAGCGGCGCACGTTGGTCCAGGAACACTTCATATGAGCACTTGATATATTTCGTTCCGGACGTTGCCTGTGCTCCCGAGAAAGGTACCCCGTAAAGGATACTTGCTTGTAGCGCGCAGGCCATTTCGCCGTACCCACACTTTACGCGAGCCTACCAGATGTCTCGACCACTTTCTTCATGGAAGTTGTTCGTCCTGGATCTCGTCTGGTGTTCGAGGAGATATGTCATGGGGTACCCTGATGTGTCCAATGCAGGGGCCCCACAAGTCCCGACGCTTCCCCCGGGACCAGGTTTCACGCTGAGTCGTCTTTTGACGGCCCCGGGGCCCGGTGAGGGCCCCTGGAGAAAAAATCCGTCTTGGTTTTTCCAGGACAGAATGGCGCTAATGTCGGAGGTCGTGGTGGCGACGCGCTCTGCTATCGATCAAGATCGCACATCTGCGGCTCGACCAAGATCTCCTAGTCGTGGCAGCCGTGTCTCGAGGGCCACTTGGAGCCTCTTGAGGGCCACTTGGAGCCTCTCGGGGTTTCTTGGGGACTCCTAGGGCCATTTTGGTGCCTCCTGGGGGCCTCCTGGGGGCCTCTTGGGCCCTTCTGGGGCCGTCATGGAGCCCCCTTGCGCGCTTGTGGGACCCCTACTGGGGCTCGCTTGGGCTGCCTGGGGGGCCTCCCGGGCCGTCTTGGGCCCTTCTTGGGCCGACTTGGGGCCCTCTTGAGAGCCTCTGGGCCTGTTTTGGGGGCCGTGTTGGACACTGCGAAGGCCGAAGACGGGAAAATTGCACAAATTCACATTTTCCTGAGGGAAGTGGGACAGATTTGCCGTCTGTGGGCACTCTTAGGAGGTGTCGGGAGGGCACGTTGGAGGCTTCTAGAGCCGTCTGTGGAACATATTGGATGTCTTGGAGCGATGTTTCGGCCACTGAGGGCCCTCTTGGGCCGTCTGGGCTGCCGTTGGGTTTTTTATGAGCCCGCGATCGAGCTCTCCAGGGCGAGGGGCCGACCCGCAGTGAGCTGGAGCTCCGATTTTGCCACCAAAATTGACTAGGGACCCCCCCCACTTACCCCGGCAGAGGCACCCAGGCCCCCCCCCCCCCAGCAGAGCTGAAGCTCAAGAACTGAGGTTCAGGCTATATCTGAGGGTCTTTGAAACTGACACGCCAGATCGGCGGATTTGTGTGTCCCTGGGCCCCTTCAAGTTCGAGCGGTCAGGAGTTCTCCGCGGCGGCGTGTCCTTGCTACTACTGCTGCCCTCTGGCCGCTGGCGCCCAGGAGGGGGGAGGGAGGGGCCCGCAGGAGCTGCTAGAGCGCCGGCTGCTGTGGCTGGCGCCGCACGCGGTGGAAGAGCTCGATTTGGAGCCCAGGCTGGGTGCCGCCCAGCTGGGATGGGCGCCGGGATTGCTAAGAGGGTAGATCTAGGCCTCCCAGATGGGTCGGAGTAGATGGGGTCGGAGACTCGCGCCGCATCGCCGATACATCGCCGATGCATCGCCGATGCATTGCCGATGCGGCTCGATGTGGAGCACAATGTTCCTCACGCCGACGGCGCCGATACATCGCTGACGTCGCCGATGCATCGCCGATGCGTCGGCGATGTATCGCCGATGCGGCGCGACTCTCCGACCCTATCTTCTCGGACCCCATCTAGATGGCTTTAAAGTATTACCCCAGTGCGACCCTACCTGGAAATTGGAGCCCTAGGAAAACAGCATTAGTTGCTCTGCTATGCTATGCTATGCCATGCTCTGCTGCGCTATGCTGTGCTATGCTATGCTATGCTATGATATGCTATGCTATGATGCGCTACGCTATGCTATGCTATGCTATGCTATGCTATGATATGTTGCGCGGTGCTATGCTGTGCTGTGCTATGCTGCGCTATGCTATGCTATACTATGCTATGCTATGCTATGCTGCGCTATGCTGTGCTATGCTGGGCTTTGCTATGATATGCTGTGCTGCGCTGTGCTGCGCTACGCTCTGCTATGCTATGCTATACTATGCTATGCTATGCCAAAGCTCGGCGAAGCTAGGATGCAGGTAAGCTAAGCTAAGACAAACCTGAGCTAAGATGAAGCTAAGCTGAACTAAGCTGACATCAGCTAAGCTAAGATGAGATAAGCAACGCTAAGCTAAGGGAACGTCACTGGGGGAACCGCGAGGCGGATCCTGGGGGAACCGCCCGGGGCGGGGAGCACTGCCTGGCCCTTTAAGCATACAGGATAAGAACCCTTCTAGGCAGAGCCTAGGTAGGGAACAAGGGTTATTCATCAGTGCCCAGCGTGGTTTGATATTTGGCCCAGCCCGGCCCATCTTGCATGACCTGGGCGGGCATTTGTAACCCACTGCAGTGTTAGATGTTTCATCTCCCGTTTCAGACCCCCCCCGCGCCAAGAAAGAAACACGACCGAAGGTTTTTAGTAGTTTTCTGCCTCCGTCCAGTTTCGGCACCGCCGCTGGAGGTCTTCCAGCGCCGGGAGGTGTCGGGAAAACCAGGTACCGTAGCATGCAGCCGATTCGCTTGATTCTCCATTTCTTGTTTATGCCTCTGACGTCGCGTTTCTCTCACAACGCGGACCTCCACATCGTCTCGGTGCCCTTTCTGGGCGACCATTATGTCATCCCCAGACTGTTTCTTGACCTGTTTCGGGCCCGGGAGGAGCCCCTGGAAGTCGAAAACGGCCAAGCGGTCGGAGGACGCGTAATTAATGGGAGGGCGAGAAATTGGGGTGCAGCCAGGGCTGCAGAAAGGGCTGCCTTTCGGGCCCCTGAGGCCCTGTCGGGCCCAAGAGAGGGCCTTTGGGGCCCAGAAAGGGCACCTCTCTTCCCTCCCATTCGTCGCCCCCATCAATTCGCGCCCACATTGGTTTCCGTCGTGCTGCCGTCGCGACGAGAGTTCGCGAGGAGGTCTGGGTATGACCCGTCCGCCCAGGAGGCAGAGGAGGGTGGTGGTGTCGGCTGCGCGCCGGCGACGGCGGCAGCCTACGACGACGACAGCGCCGCCGACGACGACGACGGCGACGCCGCCGATGACGACGACGCAGACAAGCCACGACGCCGACGACGATGACGACGGCGCCGCCGACGACGACGGTGACGCCGCCGATGACGACGACGCAGACAAACGACGACGCCGACGCCGCGGGGCGCATCGCCGATCTATTGGCGATCATCGCCGACCACTGGGCCCCCCCGCGCTCCCCTGAAGCCGCGCACCGTGGGCCACTCTTGCCTACAGTCAACCCGCATAATAAGGATGGGCAACCTTACCAAGGGTACCCTTGCATCCTTGCCCATTCTGCCCATCCTTGGCCACTCTCGCTGGCCTCGCCCCGCTCGAGGAGCCTCGAGATGGCATTCCAAGGCCCTCGCATCCTCACGGTGCGTCCTCGTGATGCTGGTTGGCTGCAGGGTCACTCTTGCGCGCAGCCCGGACTGGCTCCGAGAGGTCTCTGGTCGAAAGGGCCACCTTCAGGAGGGGGAGGGGGGGAGGAGCCCGGACTTCTTCGCGCTGCGACGGAAAAATCACGACGTGGGGTTCACGGCGTAGGTTCGTGCGGCGAAGGCGCGCCTTCGCAGGCGTTCCAGGTGACAAATTCTGCGACGCGGAAGCAGCGAGGGACACGGTGACGCCTCTGGGCCCGACGGGATTCAGCCTTGAGCGATCGGGACCGCGATCGATTTCAAGGGTGAACGATCGGCGCGGTGACAAAAACCTTCTCGCGCGCCGACGCCGCACGAAGCTACCGTACACCGGTTCAGATTTGCCAGGCCTGGGTGCTTCGTAGCAGATATTCGGGATGAAGGAGCCGGCTTTGAGGAAGGTGTCGACACCTCTATGGTCCACGTTGGGGGGGATTTGTGACGTTGGGCGAATAGTGAAGAAGAAACATGGAATGAAGAAAGGAAGGAAGGAGGAGAGGATGGAGGGAAGAAGTAGAAGGGGAGCGGAGCAGGGTGCCGGGGGAAAGCAGGGAGGAGGAAGTTGGGGGAGGAGGGGGGGAGGGCCCGCATTCTCGGGGCCCCGTCGTTCGCTGGGCTGCGCGCGGAGTGTGAGTCCAAGTGGTCCTGAACCTCTGCTGCTGCTGCTGCTCGCCTCTGGCCGCCTCCCCCTCTCGCTCTCGCCCTCGCCGTCGCCGCCCTCGTCCTCGTCGTCGGCACCGTCCGCCGTGACCGCCCTCGCCGTCGTTGGCGCCGTCGCCGGCGGCGGCGCCATCGTCGTCGTCCCCCTCTCCGACGTCGGCAGCGGCGGCGGCGGCGGCGGCGGCGTCGTCGTCGTCGTCGGCGGCGGCGGCGGCGTCCTCATCACCGTCGGCGCTGCCATCCGCGGCGTCGTCGGCGGCGGCGGCGCCGCCACTGCTGCCGGCGGCGCCGCCGCCGGTGTCTCGGAGAGGCCGCCGCCGGGCCACAAGCACGGAGGGCCGCTGCTCACGCTGGGCACCAGCCCGGGCGCGGTGCCCACGCTGGCGGGCGCCATCGCGCGGAGACCGCGCCTCGAGACGCCGGGGCCGGCGGTGGACGATTGACGCAACGACGACGACCACCACGACGACCACGGAGGAGGAGGAGGAGGAGGAGGAGGAGGAGGAGGAGGAGGAGGAGGGAGGAGGAGGAAGGAGGAGGAAGAGGAGAGGGAGGAGGAAGAGGAGGAAGGAGGAAGGGAGACAATGAAATCCAAGGGCTATGGGGGGAAAGGGAAAGGGGGGCTTGCGAAATCTGCTGCGTGCAGCGCGTTAAGGCTCCGCCGCTGTGCGCAATCCTCGACACGTTGGCGCCTCTGGGGCCGGGGAGCGCGAGGAAGACCAGCTACGGCAGGCTTGCGTCGTGCCGATGCAGCGGCGACCCTGCCGCGGGCGTTCGAGGTTGAGCCCCGCTGGTGGCGCAGCATCGGCCGATATGGGAAGATCTGCGATCGACAAGCAGCCGAACGCTCCAGCGCCGGAAGCCGCCGGAGACTACTCCAGATTTCGTAATAAAGGGAGGGGGGTCTCATTTCGGGGGGGGTCTCTTCCAGGCTATCTTGGAGGGCCTGGGGGGTCTGGGGACGATGTTTTGGAGGGTTCTCCCACGGGGGTGGTCTGAAATGGCTTGTCTTGGAGGGTCCAGACCCCCTCCCTTTTATTACGAAACCTGGAGTACCAGAAGACCGTCAGAAGACGGTCAGAAGACCACCAGAGACCGCCGACGTCGGCCCCGGAGCGATGGGGGCAGCAGGGCAGATCGCCCAAGGTCGAACGATGCCGTCGGTGTCAGGCACCACCGCGCGGGTCGACACGACACGAGCTCGTGTCGTGTCGACCCAGGGACATAGCCTGTCCCACGGCAACACCTTTCGCCCGCCACTGGGGGTCCGCCTTGTGGGGGGCCAGCCCTCTGGGGGTCGAGGACGCAGCAGACCCGAAGCTGCCCTTGCATCTTCGGGGGGCCTCGCCTGTCCCCCACACTAGTGTCCTGTCTTGTGCCAGACGCGGGCTCGATGCGGACTCGACGCGGATCCGGCGTGGATCCGACGCGAATCCGACACGGACTCGGCACGGATTCGGCACAGATCCGACGAGTCCGACACGGATTCGACACGGATTCGACGCGCAAAGGGCCGCGACGGGACAGACAAGATCCCCCGAGGATGCGACATAACCGCAGGAGCCTGTTGCTCACGAAGCTCAGCCTCCGCTCCAACGAGATCGAGGACAAGGACGCCCCGCCCGGGTCCCCCCGAGGCGCTTTCGGGCAGCTCGCTCCCGGCGGGCGCCGAGGCACCGCCTGTCCTATCCGTGGCATCGTTCGGACGTGTCGAAGACCATCGAGGAGTATCCTGGGCCATCGTGCTTCGGCAGCAAATCATGGGAGCCTTGTGTACCCTTTTAACTCTGTCTTTAGCGTCGGCCAGCGTCGATGAGCGTCTGGTAGTCGACGAGCTAGCGCCGATTTAGCTTCGGCTAGGGTCGATTTAGCGTCGATGAGCGCTGATTCGCAAGAGCCGACAAGATGATATGAGAGGCTCCCACGAGTTGCCACCGAAATAATCGTGCGACAAATCTCACGGGGAATGGATGTCCAAGCGATGGCGGGTGTCCTCATACGAGCCCGCAGGGAAAGAAGCGGCCTGCGCCCGGCAGGGATCCCAAGGGGGATTTACCTACCTTGATACAGGGAGACTTCGGGTCGGACGAACGGGGGGGCTGGCGGAAAACAAGTTACGACATCTGCGGCGTGCAGCTGGCTTGGGCCCCGCCGCCGAGCGCAGAGGGACCCCACGGGGCTGCGCCGCGGGATCTGGCGCGCTTTCGCGAGGCCTCTCCGACGCAGAGGAGGAGCTCGAGTCGGCCTCCGGAGGCGCGAGGCGACAGCGCCTCAGACCTCGGGGCGGAGGGCCGTAGCATGCCCCTGGCAGGCTCCAGACCGCCGTCTTACCACTCGCCTTATGTCGGGCGTGTCCCCCTACAGGGGGATGTTCGACGAAAAATGCAAAAAACTAACCCCAACATAATCCAAAAAAGGTCAACAAATACAAAGAAAAAATCCCCAGACTATTTTTGCATCATTTGTTTGATTATTTTGGGAGTATCTTTAATTCTTCGTCGAAAATCCCCCCATGTGGGGGGAGGCCCGACTTGACACTCGCCTTGGAGCTCTGTCGGTCTGTCGGCTCGGCGGCGCTGTCGGCTCTCGAAGGGGCCGCTCGGTCGCCCTCCTGACTTGTAGCCGACCGGGGGGCCGAGGTGGCCCAGCACTGGTCTTGGCCATCAGAAAAATTGGCGAAGAGGTTCGAGATGGTGGGTCTGGGAAGCCTTTTTGTCTTTTTCGGACTCTGGGGGACATTATCGGCCCCCGGGACCGTCGAACATGGATTCGTGGTGAAACGCTGCGCCAGGTGGACCCGGGGAGGGTTCGGGGGAGCGATTTTGAGCGGCATCCCCCCATCCGAGCCTGTAGGGACAGATTCGGTAGGTTCGCGTCGTGCCGACCAGCCGCGACTCCGCCGCCGGCGTTCAGCGTTGAACGCCGCCAGCGACCCAGAATCGGCCGATGATGAACGATCTGACGTTTCGCAAACGGCCAATCGTTCAAGGTTGACCGATCCTCGCGGTGTCAGGAACCAACGCTGGTGTCGACACGACGCGAGCTTGTCGTACGGCGACACATTTCGTCTGCTAGTGGGGGTCAGCCCTTTTATATGTGACAAGTAAAGGCCGATTAGATTCCTGTGATTATCTTTGTTCAGGGCCGCATTGTCTCAACAAATATGTCCTCCGCAGGTTTTCCTGAGCAGTTCTTTCGGACATCATTCCACCAGTCCAGCGTTTCTGTTCAGAAGCGATGTTTTCCTTAGGTTGCCATTCGCTGACTCTCACCCTCAGATGTCTGACCCGCTCGTGGCCGCATGTTGAACCTGCGGCCACGAGCGTTTGCTTGGCGTGTCGTGCCGCTGGCTTCGGCTCACCGCGCCTCGGCGCAGCACGCCAGGCTCGCCCCAGTGCCCAAGCGTCAGCGCTCCGAGCTATTCTCGGCCGCCCGCCTCACGTCAGCGAACGACGCGCTGTCAGCTTACACCGTGTCGCGGGAGAAGTGCCCGGACCAGCCGTTCCTATCATTTCCAGCCTGGGCCCGTTGTCTTTCAGTCTTCCCAGGTCTGCCTCCCGGTGGTTTCGGGTTCGTCTCCGTCCCTGCCGTTTCTTTTCTTGCCCTGGCCAGCTCCACTTCCACGGGGCTCGCGACGTCCACTTTTTCTGGCTTCTCTGTGCCGCTGTATCTGGCCCCGCTTGGCTACATGCTCCCCTCCCCTTCTCTCCTCTTCCTCCGCGGTCGGCTGCTGCATCGTGGAGCCCCCTTCATTCGGGAAGCCGCCTGCATACTACCTCTGATTGTGGAAGGCGGTTTAGAGAGGAGGCATGTTGCCAAGTAGTTCCCAGATAACTGGTTAACGTTACAACACGACCGTGCCGCAACTATGCGCACATCACCATAGCCAGGTTCGAAGTGTACTTGGCACGCGGTCAATGTATTGTTGTTGCGAATACGCTTGGAGGCGCGGACATGTTCTTCGCGGTGAGAGTGTATCTTCGATTGTAAAGGAAGAGGGGCGGCCGCCGCGCCAGGATGCCGGCTACAGCTTTTTTTTGTTATCTCTCTATATCTTTATGCATATTTCTTTCTCTCTCTCTCTCTCTGTCTCTCGCTCTCTCTCTCTCTCTCTCTCTCTTTCTATACATATATATATATGAATACATATATATATATACACATATCTGTATATTTATATATATATATACATATGAATGTATAAGCACACTGGGGAGTGGCGCGGGGGAGTCTTATGGGGGAGTCCCATCAGCACATGGGAGGGCTCCGTGGCCCACATCTTGCCGATGGGCCCGGACACCGCGAAACGGAGCGGCGCAAGGCCGCCCGGGCTGGGCCGGGCGCGAGCGAGGCGGACCGCGCCCCGCACTGCCCCGTGGCGCAGAGTTCCTCCCCGGGGGGGCCGCGCGCGCGCGGGGCCCCTGGCGGGGGCGGCCCGCGCCGTGCGTCCTCTCTGGGCCGCGCCTCTGGGGGAAAGCCGGAACGGCCGCTCGGCGGGGGCGCGCCCGCCGGGGGGGGCGCCACGCAGACGGGAGCGCGCCCGCGGGGGGAGCGCCGGACGGGCTTCGCGGAAGGAGCGCGCCCACTGGGCGCGCGCTGGCGAGGCTCCCTGGCGAAGGGACCATAAAACAACGTTGACAAGCAAACGCACGCACCCCTGGAGTTTTCAGGGACGCCCCGCGGCGGTGGAGATCTGTGTAGCGCTTTAATGATTTAAGGTGTTGCGCATGTATTCGGCCAGGGAATCCGATTCGCCATGAAGAAGGCATGACACATGCCTCTGAGATGCGTTTCCACTGCCCGGGGGCTCCAGGCGACAAGATTTGTTGGGAAAACATGGAAGACCATTTCGCCCGGACATTTCTGGGGGCTCCCGCCCCGCGCGGGGCACCTCGCAGGTTTGCCTTCGTGGTCCCCTCCCGCAGTGGATTCCCGCATGATGCTCTCCTCTAGAACGCCCCGTGCGACATCCACGTAGGGAGTCCTCTCCCACAAAAGTGCCCCGTAGGACTCCCCCATGGGATTTCCACTAAAAGACTCCCCCATAGGTCTCCCCCACAGGACTCCCCCATGGCCCACGACTCCTCCATCCATAGGACTTCCCCATAGGCCTCCCCTAGAAACTTCCCCAAGAGGGGCCGCCCGCGCGTAGGGATCGTTGAACGCATTCGATGGCACATTTTGGTAATTTGTATTTGTCATATCTCCAGGGCCGAGGTCTGGAACATGAGTACATCAAAGGAAAACAATACGAATCCAATGGAAGGACTGTTAAAGTGGCCCTTTTCCAGCGGGCTGATTCCTTCTTTGTTGACTTATGAGTCGCTCCGACCTCTGCTTCTGGGGGGCTGCCCTCGGGTCCCTCTGGGATCAACAGGGAACGGTCCCAGGGTCCTAGGGACTGCCCTCTGGGGCCCACGGATTGAGACACCACCACGTTGAAAGTCTGGGCCCCAGTTTCTTTTCCATCCCCTACTAACCTCAATTTCCCTCGCCTCTTTTCAATGTTGCGACAGTGGCCACCCTGGCTCCGCCTCCAGTTCTGTGCTTCGGGAATGGCTGTGGCTTGCGGGGGCCAGCCTCCTGACGTCTCCTGCCGTTGTACTCCTGTCCATGTGCGCGTCTGCCGCGCCATGGTCTCCCCAGAAGCGCTCCATGCAGCCGTCGATACCCCCCAGTGGCCGATTTTCTTCGGTGTTCGCTCGTGTCAGAGCCTGCGTGAAGACCGCGCCCTCGGATCGTTTGCATGGTCGGTCTCTCTTCCAAACTTTCGGAAAGTATGGGCAAGGTGGGGAAAGTTACTTTCCCCACCTTGCCCATATTCCAATACCGGTACGGCAGAGGTTGCCGTCATGTTGCCTTGGTCTCCGGATCTGCTCGCGCAGTCTTTCCACACTCAGCCTTCCTTCAGTGCGGCCGCCACAGGACGGCGTTCGGCTAGCGATGGCCATCCGATTGTGCAACAGCCTTCGCAGCGTCGACCTCAGCAACAACATGCTGAAATCGGAGGCCCGGCTCAGCCAGTAATTTGGCCACGCCGAGGAGGCGAAGGGAGAGTCAGATTTCGGCACCCATCGTGATGAGGACCTGGACGCTGCCGACCCCGTCTCGATAAGGGATCGTCCGAGCCGGATCGATCCGCGAGGAGGAGGAGGAAGAGAGGAAGAAGAAAAAGAAGATGAAGAAGGAGTGGGCCGTCCCGGGCGCGGCGCCGTTCGAGCCTTCACAGTGATTTGCAGAGTCTTGGGCGCCATCGATTGGATAAGAGAACGTGGTGCGTGAGGAGGAGCGGGAGGAGCAGGAGGGAGGCGCAGAGGGGGGACGCAGAAGGAGGGGCCCGAGGGGGCTTCGCCTGCAGAGAGGGCGGCGGCTGTGCAGAGGCCGCCCCCCGCCCCCCCCCCGGTGCCGTCCCCGGAGGGGCAGGTGGGAGCACGGCTCGGGCAACTGCGCGCGCGGGTTCCCACGCCCAAGCAGGCGCAGGTCTATGCCGAGTGGCCCGCGGTATCCTCCTCCTCCTCCTCCTCCTCCTCCTCCTCCTCCTCCTCCTCCTCCTCCTCCTCCTCCTCCTCCTCCTCCTCCCTTCCTCCCGCTGCACCTGCTCTCCTCCTCTCTTCTCCGCCCACCCCTCTCCCTCCTATAGAGAGAGCTCCTCCCCGTCGCGCCCCGAGCTGGGCCGGTCGGCCGGGCGGGCCGGGCCCCCTGCCGGAGACCTCCTCGCCACACGGCTTGCAACCTGCAGCAGCTCCGCGGAGGATGGGAGGGGCGGGCCGCTCTCAAACGGCGGCTCCCGCCCCCCCCGCGCCGCGCGCACTCGCCTCGAGAGGCCTGCAGGAGCTTCGCGGAGGGAGGGCGGGCCGTTTTGCAAGATGTGGCCCTCGCCCCCCGCGCCGCGCGCCGCGGCTGCTCCGAGCGCCCGCAGGAGCTTCGCGGCGGGGGGGCGGCTCGTCCTCCGAGTGCGGCTCGCGCTCCGGCGCCGCGCGGGTCCGCTGCGGCGGTTGACGGAACTGCGGCTCCGAGGGGCCGCATGGTCGACGTCGCCTTCGGGTGGGTCTTTGCACCGGCGCCTCGGCGCGGGCCCTGGGCCCAGGGCTCTGGTGGGGTCTGCGGCGCGCTGCCTCCCCTCTCGCGTGATGCTGTGCCGGTTTGCTCTGATTTGCGTCGTGCTGCCACTGCGCCCTCGGTGCATCGTGCCAAGGCTCTCTCGCGGTGTTACCGAAAGCTGTCGGATTGTTGTTCCTGCTCTCTAGCTGTCTCGGCCGCCGCCCCCCCCCCTGCCCCCCCCACCCACCGCCCCCCGCCTCTCCTGAACCCGGTGAGCTCTCCGCTGCGCCCCCCCCCCCCGACGCCGCCTCACCGCGTTTCACTCGAATCCTAGTCGCCACGCGCTGGAGGTGAAGTCACCGCGAGAGAGAAGCCCTCAGACGGCCTGGCGCCCGATCCACCAGCGAGACGCTTTTCCGTCGGGCATCTCTGGCCCACCCCCCGCCCGCGCCTCCATGCGCGAGGTCTCGTTGAAGTGCGAGGCTGCGTGGCGGCTGGCGGTGGTCAGGGCTTTCGCTCTTCTCTGGGATTCCTCGTTTTGCTTTGGGCCCTCCCCCCGCGTTTGCGCCCCCTGCGCCTCCTTGGCCGCCGCTGCTTCGTCGCTGGTGCCGTTGCGTGCTCCCCCCCTCCTGCGTGCCCCCCTTTGCTGCTGGCCCGGCCGGCGCCGCTGCCGCTGGTGGTGTGTCGGGTGGACTCTTCGCCTGGCGCTGCGCCGCCGGCGGTCCTCCCGGGGCGGTGATTTCTGCGCCCCTCGCTGCTCGCGCGCCAGGCATGCGCCACCCGCTCCCCCAGAGTTCCCCTGCCGCCCCACCTGCCGCCCCTCCCCAAAACGGACGAGGGATTCTGGCGCGCGCGATGCGGTGAACAAGGACATGCGACATGCGCTGTCATTCGTCCATCATCGCCCCCTCGTGCTCCTCCCGCGTAATTTGCCACTTGCTCCACGGTGGTTCTCCGCCGACGAAGTCGACGCGGTGGGGCTGGAGGGGGCCGCGCTGCTGCAGTGTGCTCTTTCGAGGCATCGGCCCCCGTGCCGTCGGCTCCAGAAGCCGAGCTCCCCTCCTTCATCCTCATCTTCGGCGGGGTGCGCTGCTGTGCGACCAGGCCCGGCTGAGCGGGAAGGCGAGGACGGCCCGTTTGCCGACGCGGCCACGGTCGCGGCGGTGGCCGCACTCGTTCATCGCGGGCCCCGCCGTGGGCGAGGCGGCCCCGCGGCGGCGCCGCGGGTGGCCGGCCCGCGGAGGGTGGCAGTCGGCATGGGCGTCCATCGCGGCCCCCTGCGGGGTTGGGCGCGGCAGGCCCCCAGGCTGCAGTGCCCGCGGAGCGCTTCGCCCTCCACTCGTCCCCCCGCTCCCCGCTATCGGGGGAGAAAAAGAGACGGATACGTGTTGTCCCCCGTCGTTTTCGGCCTTTCCTGGCCCTCCTGGGGAATCCTCGTTGTCACCGCTGGATTCGCCTCGAAATTCTGGTCAGAACGCACCCCAAGAGAGGTCCGGGGACAACACGTATCCGTATCTTTCCGCCCCCCAACGCTATGAGGTCCAGAGCGTCGCCCTCCTCCCCCCCTGCCCCCGCTCCTCCCTCACCCCCAGGTTGCCTGCGCGGTGCGCTGTGCGTGGGCGATGGGTGGAAAGCAATTTGCAACACGCAGTTCGCGGCTTTCGAATGTCGGGGACACTCGGCCGACACGGCGCCCTCATCCCCCTTCTCTTCCCCGATTGCCCCGATCCTCTTCCCCCCCCCCCCCCCCCCCCCCCCCCCATTGAGGCTCCACCGGCCCTGATCGTCCATTCATGTTCTCCTATCCCGCCCTTCGCCCACCTCCGTCCCCACAGGCCGCGGCCGCTGTTGTGCAGGCGGCGGAGCAGTGCAGCAACCTGACGTCCCTGGACCTGAGCCGCAACCTCCTCGGCTGCGAGGGGGCGCCCCTGGGGCCCGCCCGAAGTCGTGTTCGTCGCCGTCGTCGGGCCCACCCGTCCGCGGCGGGGGGCGGTGGAGTCCACCCGCAACCAGGACGTTGAATTTAGGTCCGCTTTAAGTCGGGGGAAAACAAACCTACCTCGCTTTTGACCACCCTCGCTTCCAAGAGATACCAAACGATGCCAAATTGCGGCCTGTACTGGTCAGGCCGCTTGACGAGGAGGCGCGTGGTATGGCTTGGTTTTGCCTGGAAGCGAAAGCGGGGGAGGTAATTCACGCTCTGATTAAGCTGAGGAGGGGCTCTGGTTTTCGAGCCGTTCATTTGATCGATGTCGGGGAATCCGTTCGTAGCAGAAGTCCGCCGTGGCCAGGCACAAAAGACCCTCCGTTCCTTGTTCGGCGTTCCTTGTGGTCGCGCGACGACCGTCGTTCCAGCCGTTGGCGAGGGTGGGGATGGCGTGGGATCCGGGAGGGGGGGGCGGCCAAGCCAAAGGGATGTGCAGGGGGGGAGCAGGGGGGGCGCGGGAGGCAGCGCCGGAACGGGGGAACGGCTGCGTGGATTCCTCAGGCAGCCGCAGATGTTGTTCAAGCCTGTCGAAGGACGCCATGCGGGCCACGCGCGCGCATGGCGAATATATCCAGCAATCACTGCGCACCCGCCAACCCCCTAATTACACCATGCTGACCACACGCGACGCACGGTGAAACATGTCCAAAACGCGCGCGCTCTCATCGTAGCAACACAGAAGTGTCCACACACATCTGAAAGCTATTTCATTTTCGATTACAACGTCCAGCAGGATGTATGAGTCTATGCGCGCACCTTTCCCATTATCCTGATCAGTCCCATCGTTACCACCGTCGCCCGCGTCATCGTTGCAGCCGGCATCTCTATCATCGTTGTAGTCGTCATTATCCCCACCGTCGTTATCAATAACATAGTCATCATCGTCATCGTCGTTGTCGCCCCACTCCCCCGGTTGGTAGCGATACTACCATTCTCCCCGCACGCACCGCCCTTCTTGGGTAATAAGCAGGTTGGGGGGGGTGACGGCCATCGGAGCAACCTTCCGAATGACCATCGAGACAACTATCGGAACAACCATTTGGAGAACCATCGGGGCAGCCAACCGAACGACCGTCGGCCATCGGGAATATCACTCGGGACAACCATCAGGACAACCATCGGGACTACCATCGGGACTACCATCGGGACTGTCATCGTGACAGCCATGGGGACCACCATCGGAACAACCATCGGGACAGCCATCAGGGCAACCATGGGGACAACCATCGGGACAGCCATGCGGGTTAACCATCGGTACACTCATCGGGACAACCATCCAGACACCATCCGGACAACCATCGGGGCAACCAACGGAGCAACCTTCGAGACAACGATCAGGACAACCTTCGGGACAACCATCGGGAGAACGGTTTTTCGTCCCCTATCTTTCGTGTTTCCTTTTTTTCTCTGCCCGGTGTCTGTAGCCATTAGGGCTCAGACGCTCGGCTGATGTTGAACAACGGTTGGGCGCAGATGCTGGCCATTGTGCCGCGCGCCCTCGACGCCGCGAGGGGGTGGGTCCGCACGGTGCTTCGTAAATATGGTGTCCTCGGCCCGCGCCTGGCGTTTTAGGCGGACGAGACCGAGTTCGAGGGAACGCCCGAGCAGGCGTCGGCAGCCGCGGACTCAAGCGTGGAGGAGGCACGGCGGCCGCTGAGGGAGTTCGTGGACATTAGGCAGTTGCCGAGGAGCCAGTGCAGAAGCGGCCGAGGGCGCTCCATGGCTGCCCCGAGCAGGCCATGCTGGAGGACGCCGTGGCGTGCCTCATGGTGGCCACCTGCCGAGAAGCTCCCGAGGCCCCGGCCCCGCCGCCGCCGGGGGCCCGTGCGACGGCAAGGAGCCGCGCGGCAGTGGAGGAGAGCCGTCGCGGGCTGGAGGCGCAGGAGCGGGCTTTGTGGAAGCCTCGCCTGGTCGCGTTGTTCGAGGAGATGGGGGCGCCTTCGCCCGAGACGGCGCGATCCTGCAGGGACCTGGAGCGGGCAAATGACGGCATCAAGGGTCGCACGCGCATCAACGCGGTGAGGTCAGCACGTGAGTGAGGTCGAACGTGACGATGCGCAAGTGGTTCCTGCTCGCACACGAGGCCCTGTGGCCCCTGACGACTTAACATGTCATCGACCACGCGCGCGCCAAGGCCGCCGACCCGCGCGGACCAACGGTGCCCAACCGGGCACTGGGCCATAACAACAGGTGCTCCGCTCGGTCCGAGGCACAGCAGGTCATCGTGAACGGTGAGATGCTCCCTGGTGCGGGCAAGGGCAAGGGCCCGACAACGAGGGCAGCACGGTGCCCAAGAGCGTTCATCGGGGCCTTGGAGAGGTTGGTCATGGACGAGGACCTCCGCAAAGTACCTACGCGGGTTAGTCAAGACGTGGGTGGCGCGCCGCTACGACGACCACAGCTGCCTCCCACCATGGCGCCTCGCCTTCGTGCACGAGGGACTGGCGGCGACGCTTGGACGCGCGCAGACTTGCGCGCGCGCATGGTGCCAGAGCTGCCGCCTGCGGTGCCCCGTGAATGTTGCATGCTGGACCGAGCATGGATACAGACGGGCTTCGACGCGTGGAGTGAGATCGCGGACTCCGAGAGAGTCCACTTCTTGTCGCGGTGAGACGACGCGGGGCAGACGGTGGCCCGCAAGCCCGCCGGGCACGCAGAGGCGGCGACAGCGGGCCGGGAGGTGCCCCCGAGGGTGCCGGAGCCCGCGGCGGGCGAAGAGGTCGAGCTTCTCATCCCCGAGGAGGTCGCGCGGATCTGGATAGAGCGCCCGGAGCGGGCGAGGATCCTTTCGACCGCGGCGGGGATAGACAAGAACGCGCGCGACTACTTGGGCAGGTGCTCGCTGGAAGGCGCGGGCACCTCCGCGAGGGCGTTCCGCATGGGCGTCTCTGCGCTCCGGCAGCGGGCGGCAGTTCGCGGTGGCGTTGCGTTCTGGGGAGGCTCGCGTGGAGCTGGGCGAGGCGGCGGCCTTCCCTGACCCGCCGAACTGGCCGGCCTCGAGGAAGGACTTCTCGCAGCAGAATGCCGCGAACGTGGCAGCTGAGACCCGCGCAGCCCTCGAGGTTTGCGCGGGCGGGTTGGCCGCGGGTTCCGAAGACAACGATGAGCGGCCGCGGGCGGCGGCAACCCCGGAGGCCGCCGTCGAAGGCGAGGAGTTGGATGGCGTCGGACCACCGCCGGGGACAGCAGCGCCCCCGCGAAGAGCGCAGGGGAAGGGGGCAGAGGGCGGCCGCGACAGCGACGACGGCAGCCCCCCCCCCCTGAGAGCAAGGGCGCGAGATGGTCGTCAGCGTCGCGCGGCCGAAGAAACGTGAGGTGGCCAGGCTCCGCAATGTCGGGGGCCGCGGTTGGGCGCCTGGCGGGTCGCCGCTGAATTCGCCGTGCTTCGACGGCGTGCCTGGCGGAGCGCGACATGGTCCGCTGCCAGAGATGCCGGAGCCTAATCTTGGTCGAGATGATGACGCTATAGCGGCGAAGAGCGAAGGCGAAGGCCCGGACAGTTCATCGAGCTCCTCTAGCTCGGAGAGACCGCTCAAGGAAAGGCGGCCGCTGGGGAGGGCGCCAGCGGCGACAGGCCCGGCGCGGCCCTTCGGGACAGGGGCGCGCCAGCCCAGCGACCGATCGGCCGAGAGGGCGCCAGCAGCAGCGGGATTCTGCGCGATCTTTGGAGGCCGCTCTGGGGCTGCGCTCGCGCGTCGACGGGGCGCCGGCGCCGGCGCGGCCCGAGGCGCGGCATGCGCCAGCACTGACCGTGGACAGTCCAGACTCGGCGGAGGAGGGCCGTGCCCGGAAGTGGACTTTTTCAGCGCGCCCTCGGGATCATCCTGCGTTCCGACAGAGAAGGATGTTGAGCACCCAAACAGGCAAACCGCCTGAGACACCCCTCCAATCTGGGCGCGAACGGGCAAGTGGCACGCCCCATTGCGCACCCCCTTGGGGGCGCTGAAACCAGCGCCTCGCGCCTCGCCTGAGACACCCTCGGAAACTGTTCCAAAGGAGAAGGGCGGTCGACGCCCGAACAGGCGAACCGCTTGAGACGCCCCCCGAATCTGGGCGAGAACGGGCATGTGATATACCCCCTGACAGGCGCCCCCCCTCGGCGGCATTGAAACCGGCGCCTCGCCTGAGACACCCTCGGAAACTGCTCCGAAACGGAAGGGCGCTGGGCACCCGAACGGGCCAACTGCTTGAGACGCCCTCCCAACCTGGAAGCAAACCAACGGGCTAGCGACGCGCCCCCCGGCGCCCTCCCTGCTGGATACCCCCTGGCGCGCCCCCTTGGGGGCGCTGAAACTGGCGCCTCGCCTGAGACACCCTCGGAAGCTGCTCCGAAATCGGAGGGTGTCGGGCGCCGACGCAGGCAAGCCGCTTGAGAGACCTCCCAATCTGGGCGCGAACGGGCCCTTGATGCGCACCCTTGCGCCCCCCCCTGGGAGCGCTGAAACCAGCGCCTCGCCAGAGACACCCTCGGAAACTGCTCCGAAAGAGAAGATGTTGGGCGCCCGCGCGGGCGAACCATCTGAGAGACCCCCCAAATCTGGGCGCGAGCGGGCTTGCGATATGCCCCCGGCGCCCCCCCTTGGGAGCGCCGAAACCAGCGCCTCGCCTGAGACATCCTCTGGAACTGTTCCGAAAGAGAAGGATGTTGGGCACCCGGACAGGCAAGCCGCCCGAGACATCCCCCCAATCTGGGCGCGAACGGGCCTGCGATGATTCCCCGGCGCCCCCCCCCTCGGGAGCATTGAAACCGGCGCCTCGCCTGAGACATCCTCGCAGCGCGCGCGTGAGTCTGAGCGCAGAAGTACCAGGAGCGCGAGCGAGTCTGCATATGGGTGACCCCGAGCATGAGAAACCTGAGCACCAGGAATCCACGAGCGAGCGCATCTGAGCATGAGCGAGTCTGAATACGAGTGAGTCTATATGAGTGAGTCAGAGAATGATGACCTGACGGTGGGGGGCGTTCTCGTTCCGCGCGGTCAAAGTAACAACGAGAGCCCCTTCCTCAGGACATGGGGGATTCAAATATTAAACAGAAGAGTGCGAGGAGGGTCAGGGGCCAGACGCCTCCCAGGGTCCTGGGCGCGGGCCGCGGAGCACAGTTGCAGCTGAGGGTGCTCCACCTCTACGCGGAGCGCAAGGGGCGGGCGGATGTTGCCGACTTCGCGCGCCGCCCCGGCATGATCGCGCACTTGGAAGCGGGGCGAGTCGGGCGCGATCGCGGTCTCGCCGCCCTGCAGCCCTTGGCCACAGGCATAGTGGATAAACCGCCGAGGCCCGCGCCCGGTGCGATCGGCACAGCCCTCTCGGGGGCCCCCTGGCTGGAGGGCCGAGATGAGCTAGTGCGCCAGGTATCCAACCAATCCGCAGACGTCGCCGCCCGCGCGCTGGAGGCCCAGCTCACGAGCAGCAGGCAAGCGGCTGGCCTCCTGGAGCCGCCCGAGGACTTGGGCGCCGTCCAGACGGGCGACCTCCGCGGTCGGCGCCCGGCCAGCCAGCGCGTTGCAGCTGCCAACAGTAGACGAGCCCCTCGGCCTCGACGGCGCGCGCGCAGCGGCCCCCCACCAGAGCGTGCACGGCGCGCCGTGCCCGAGGCCGACGCGCTTCGTCGGTCGGTTGCCAGGATTGATCGCCGACCCTTGGCTCCACGTCGGGAGACTGACGCGCAGCCGCGCGAGTGGGCGGCGCAGAGCGTCGGCCATCTGGCCGAGCTGCCAGCTGTCCGTCGCGGGAGGGGGGGGGGGGGCCTCATTTAAGGCCCCATCGCCAGACCCGCTCGAGGAGCGGGGCGAGGAAGAGGGCGACGGGGCGCCGAAGAGAGGCCCCTTCCACAGGGCGCGGCCCGCTCGGCAAAGGGGGCATCTGCATCGGAAGGGGCCGCGGCAATATCCCAGCGAGCATGTGGGGCGACCCCGCATGCATCGAACGCCGCGGCACGAAGGCCGCCATCGCGAAGTTCGCGAACTGGCCCCCGACAAGACTCGACCCGCTCGAGGCGCCCTCGGAGCTGGGCGGCGCCGCCTTCAGGCGCCACTGCGACCCGCGCTCCGACTGCCGCGCCGACGCCAACATCGCAGCATGGCGGGGGAAGAGAGAAGCGCGGCCGCGGGCCCCCATTCGAAGGCGCAGGGCCGCCGCGCTGCTGCGAGTGCACTCAGGGCCCGAGAGGTTTCCACGACGGCGCGGGCCTCCTATCGCTTGGCCGCTCGGACCCAGACCTTTCTAGGAGTTCCCGCATTAGAGCGAGGTGTGATATCCGAGCTTCGACGGGCTGTGAAAGCCGTGGGCGGCAGGGGCGCCGCAGGGCGCGCCCCGTTCGAGCTCGCGGCGCAAGGGCGCCTGGCCGGGGCCGACCCGAGCGAGCCACCCGACCTCTTGAAGAAGAGGATCTACGAGACGGCCAGGAGGATCTCCGAATGCTGGCTGGGAGCAGAGGGGCGGGCAGGCTACGGCGACGACCTGGGACCTGGGCTGCGTCGCAGGGGGGCAGCCCGTCCGCCCCCCCCTGCCGGCGGCACTTCGACGCGACGCAGGGGGCCGCGACGCAGAGTTAATGAAGGAGCTGGAAAAGGGGGGCAACAGCGGGCACACTGCACTAGATGCCCTGGCAGGGAGAGCTACCCGAGGGGCTCGCGAACTGGCGCCTCGACGAGGAGGCGGCCGACGGGCCGTTCCAGAAACAGCCGCTTGAAGCAGCGTCGAAGACCGCGGTCATTGGCCCCGAGGGCACCACGCGGACAAGGTGAGGCGGGCAGGGCGACTGGGAAGTCCAAGGAGCAGCTGCGCAACTGCCCCCGCGACACTTGCGCCATCGCGGCGCTGGCGGCCCTAGAGAGCGCAAGCGGCAAGGAGAGACTCGTGCGCGACGGCGCGCGCGAAGTCGCCGTGAACCGGCGGATCCGACGCAGGAGCTGGCAGTGGATGCCAGCGCCCGCAGAAAAGAGTTACCCCTTGAGGGACATCGAGGACCATCGCGACGTTATCGTCTCGCTCGTCACCGACGTCAAGGGCGCGCTTCGGCTCGTCGAGATCCGCGAGAACGACCGGGGCGCGCTGGCCTGCGAGTGCGAAGGCGAGATCCATTGAATGCAACGCCATCAGCGCTCTCGGCATATCCAGCGCCGCCGGATGGTGGGTCAGACTGTTTGAAGCCCGACTGCGCGCGATCTTCCGCGCGCTAGGCGGCGAGCGGCCCGCGCGACGGCCCACCCGCGCCGACGATTTGCAGGCGATCGGAGCGGGGCGGCGCGGGAGATTGACAACGCCCCATGGTCGTCCCACTCGGCGTCTTCGGTTTTTCTGGTAGAGGGTCAAGACGCGGGCGGCCGCAAGGTGGACTGGGTCGGCCTCCACTGCGACTGCGCCCCCTTCACCGCGGGCCCCCGGGAGGCGGGGGCGGCCCGGGTAGCGGCCTGGTGTTAGGAGACTGCCGAATGCGGCGCCGTCCGCGTGGTCGAGATGGCGTCAGGCTTGGCGCGCCCAGGTTTCGCGGGCCGCGCGCGCCTGGCGCGCCGCCGTCGCAAAGGTCGACGGGGAGAGGGCCTCCCAACCGCGGGCGACCAGGCTCGCGCCGACGCGGGCAAGCAAGAGATCTGCCAGTGGACGGGGACTAGCAGCGCCCGTCAAGTTCGAAGCTCAGAGCGCTGGACACTTCCGCTCGACCACGAAGGCGGAGGGAGAACGCTGGCGGGCGGGCGGCCGGGAAGCACTTTCGAGCGGCAGCGCGCGAGGGGCTCGCTGCGCTCGCTGGAGGTAGAGGAGGAGTGGAGTGCATGGGCGTAGGCCAATGCAGACGACCCGAACGGGGCCTCCGCTGCGCTGGAGCTCCCCAGCGCGATCCGCTGTGCGAAGCTGCGAGGCCCGGCAAATTCCGCCAGCGGGCGAGCCTCAGGTACGCGGGGTCGACGGCCCGTTTGGGAATGGATGCCTTGCGAGGGCCGCGTCGATCAGGTGGCCGTTGAACGTCCTCCTCGTGGATTTTTTCAGAGGGGCCCCGAGGTCGCGCACGATGGCGCTGAGCCTGGACTGGCCACCGCGCGACGAGAACCCGCAGGCAGACGACCTCAGCAACATGAGGGCAACTGACTTCGACGAGTCCCTCAGGATGCACGTGGCGGCTGCGGACCTGAAGTTGCACGTGCTCGACGAGATGGCGCGCGCTTTTCTACGAGTTGACTGTCGAGGACAGGGCGGTTGCGGCGGGCGGGGCGCCCGCTGCTCGACGCTGCCGCGGGAGTCGCGGTCGCGCGCGTCTGGGGCCGCGGCGACTGCCCCGCCCGGCGCGTCTCGGACGACGTCGCGCGGGCGGATCGCTCACGGGCGCGGCGCGGTAGGACGGGGTGGTGGTGCAGGAGGGGCGGGGCGAAAGGAGCGAGGTGTGGGGATGGGCCTCGATGCTAGCGGCGCCCAGCGGGGGCCCGATGGATCCGCCCCCCACGCCACCGGGCCTCCGCCACCCCTCCTTGGTGACCCGCTCCCATTGCATAGGGGGGGTCCTCGTGGGACGTCTTGCGGTCGTCTTGCGCTTTCTTGGGGCTTTCATGCGCCTCGTCGACCACTTCTCTGATCGCTTTGGGTTTGCTGGGCAAGGTCTGGCAAGGCTCCTTGGGAGGCGTGGAAGGGTTGAGGGACCTCGTCGGAAAGGCGCCCACCGAACCCCAAAGCCCCAGATCCGGGGGGCGCGTTTTTTTGTTAATGGGGGGTCCCGCTCCCCCCGGCTTGAGAACATATGGGAAGAGGAATACGTATATGGCCTGTCGGGGCAACCTGGGTGCACGCGGGAACAACGGACGGGGCACGATTTTGTTTTGACTGTGGCCCCCACCAGGGCAGGAATCCGCGCAGCCCCGGCCCTCCCGCGCTCGCGTCATGCATGAATCGAACAGATTCCTCGGCTGGGACACCTCACGTTTCACGTCGGCCTCATCTCCCAATTTCCGATCATCATCAGCACTCGTTCGCCCGAGGCACGCGTCTGCATGGGAGAGGCCTTCGCGCCGCTACGCCAGCGGAGCTTTGTCAACACCTTGCGGGTGGGTCGGTGGGATGATTGTGCGAACTTTGGAGGTGGGCGCGCGCGGGATGTCCGCACAAGTAGCAGAGAGCAGAGAAAGTGACGCAAAGCCTGTCGCGGCGCCCCATACGAAACACCTGAATGGCCCCCGCCAGCGTCACGCAGCCTCGCCCACCTCCCAGAATCGGAGGCGTGTTCGTCAATGGCCCGTGGCTGTGGCGCGCCGCCGGTGGCGCCACCAGTGGATGGCCGCCCCAGGCGCCGCCTCCGCGCTCCTTTCGGCAAGGCCGTAGGCTACAAACCCTTGGGGCCTGGTGGTGCCCAGTGGAGGGTGGGGAGGATCCCGACGGCCGAGAAGGACGGGACGCGGGGAGAGGGGGAGAGCGCGGCACAGCAGGCGGGCAACGGGGTCCTGAGGAAAAGGGGCTCCAGGTGTCAATCCCGCACTTCCTCGCGTCGCGAATTCATCACAACGCAAGGTTTTTTGTTGTCTGCGGCTCCCCTTGGGCCTCATCACGCCCAGGGCCGCAGGGACCGTGAAGCAACGACCCGGGATGACAAATCGGATTCCCGGGAAGGGTCGGGCGAGTGGCAATGGGGGCTGACGTCAATGGGGGATGAGGAAAAATAACCCTAAAGGGGCACTTTAAGCTCCCTTTTGGGCTTTTTTCTGCACCCCCCATGGAGGTCACCACCCATTACCACCCGCCCGAAAGAGGTCCAGACCTGGGAGGGCCACGCGGGGAACGCATCGCGACGTGACGGGTGTGGATGCCATGTCGCTTCCCTGGCCCCAGGTCTGTCAACGGACGGCCTGGTGTGACAATCGGGGGCAAACAAAGCTACCTCGCTTTTGACCACCCTCGCTTCCAAGAGATACCAAGCGATGCCGAACTACGGCATGTGCTGGTCAGGCCGCTTGACGAGGAGGCGTATGGTATGATTTGGTTTTGCTTGGACGCGAAAGCGGGGTCGGTAATTCACGCTCTGAGACAAGGTCGCCCTGGGGAAAGCGCTGGGTTCGGGGATCCGCCCCTCTCGGGACCCTGCCCCTCCATGCCAGGTGCGGCGCTCCGCCTTCGAGGGGTCCAGGGGGCAGACGCCTCCTCTCCGGCGGAAGGCCCGCGGACGCCGGCGGAGTCGAGCCGCGGCTGCGCTCCGCCAGCGAAGCTCGGCGGGAGGCCCGCAGACACAAGAGACGTGCTGCCCAAGAGATGTTCGTCGCAATGCCGAGTTTCCCAAACTTGTTTTCCAAGATTCAGGAGGGAAAGAAACACACAGACACAATGAATCGTCGATCCCTCAGAAAATATGGGAAACTGTGGGAATTGGGCGGGGAGACAAAAGCCCGAAAAAACATTGGAAAATATGGGGAATCATCTTATTCGTGTGGACTTATATATGTGTGTGTGTGTGTGTGTGTCCTGGGGCCCCTTCGAAGATGTCTTCTCCAAGATGTGTCCCGCGAGCCGCGTGGCAGCGGTGAGCGTCGGGCCCAGGCGTGCCCTCGCGCGCCGCTGCCCGGCAGGCGACGGCCCTGGCGGTGCCGCTGATGGACTGCGGGTCCCCTCGCCCCGGCCCGCTGTGCTGCCTGCCAGCTGCTGGAGCCTCTCTCTGTGCTGTCTGCTCTGCTGCCTGTTCTCGGCATCGCTCGGACGTGTGCATTTGTCCTTCGGCGAGAGCCCTCGAGGAGCATCCTTGACCATCTGACGACAAAGCCACGCACGAAGCCGAAAACACACACACACACACACAAAAAAAAATGGACGTCCGAGCGATGGCGAGTGCTGTGCTGCCTGCTGTGCTGCCTGTTTTTGCTGCCTGCTGGCCTGCTGTGATGCCTGTGGTGGTGCCCGTCCCTGTCCGTCCCCCTCTCCCCCTTGCTCTCTGGACCACCTGGCGTCGGGGCGCCCCCGGCCACGCGCAGAGGGGGGTAGGGGGAGGGTGGAGGGAGGTAGGGGGAGGGCTGAATCTAAGAAGCAGCCTCGTTCTAAGAAACCTTCCCCCCTCTCCCTACTCTAGGGGAGCAAAAAGTGGCATAAACATAAAAACTCGGAGGTCTGCGCGGATTTCTCGGATCGGCGCTGGGGCCCCCTGGCGGCGCCTCCGGCGCCGCCCCTGGCGCGCTCCGCGCGCCAGGGAGGGGGGTCCAGCGCCGATCCGAGAAATCCGCGCGGACCTCCGAGTTTTTATGCTTATGTCAATGATTGTTCCCCTATACTCCCGTGTGCGCGCCGCCAACGTCGCACGCTGGCACCACGGCTTGTCAGGGCGCAAGCGGCGGGGTCTCTAGCGCAAGCGGGGCTCAGCCAGAGCGCCGGATCCTGCAGGATCCTGATCAAGCCGGAGTTTGGCTGAGCTGGGTCTGGGAGCCGCTCGCGGCCCTGGAGGTGGCCCTACACATTGGCTGGGCCGGATTTGGGAGCCCCCCCGGCTCCCATGATCCTCCCGGCTCCCTGGACTCCTTCGCGTGCACGGCGTGGCAAGGTCACGATTGAAGGTTTGTCGGCGCTGTGCGGCTTCGCCCACTGTGCCCTGCGGCCTTCACAGGACAGCTTCGGGTGTGAAGAGCTGGTCCAGTCAAGGCATCCAGACCTCTGAAGGTCCACTGTGTGCGCCTGCGGGTCAGAGATGCGTCCCCTCTGCTGGATAGGGGATCGGGGGAACAAGTCGCCAGCGATAGACAATATTGACCACAGCCGCCGGGAACAACGCACCAGAGCAGTATGGTTTTGACCGCAACCGCGGGCAACAATTCACCAGAGCAACAGTCGGGGGGCGCCCGAGAGGGGGGTGATGACTTTGGTGGTGTGGATATCATGGCCAGGGCCATGACATCATCCCGGATTTCATGGCCCCCTCTTCTTATTTCGATGCGCTCCTTCGGGCCATGTTTTGTGAGCCGTCCTCTTGGAGTGTGTTTTTTTAAGTCTCGGGGCCATAACGCGCGTTATGCCGCCCCCATCCCCCCCCAATAACGTCACGCTTCCCCCCTCTCCCCCCGTGTTGCGCCTCCGGCGCTGCCGCTGTGATGCCCGCAGGCTACTGTGGTGTTTGGATTCTACTTGAACGTTCGTCGTCGCAGCCGAGGGCCTCGCAGGGCCTGCGGACGCCTCCAGAGTCCTCCGGAGGTCTCCGGAGACCTCCAGACATCTCCCAAGACCTTGAGAGGTGGCCGCCGTCGTCGTCGTCGTCGTCGTCGTCGTCGTCGTCGTCGGTTGTCGTCGTCGTCGTCGTCGTCCCCGTCCTCGTCCCCGTCGTCGTCGTCGTTGTCGTCGTCGATGTCGTCGTCGTTGTTGTCGTCGGCGGTGGTCGTCGCTTTAGTCGTCGTCATCCTTGTCCTCGTCTTCGTCGTCATCGTCGTAGTCGTCGCTGTCGTAGTCGTTGTCCTCGTCCTCCTCGTCCTCGTGGCGGTCGTTGTCCTCGACGTCGTCGTCGTCGCCGCCGAGGACCTCGAAGGGCCTCCAGACGCCTCCAGAGGTCTCTGGAGCCTCCGGAGACCTCCGGAGACCTTCAGAGGGGGTCATCGTCGTCGGCGTCCTCGTCTTTGTCCTCGTCCTTATCCTCGTCCTCTTCATCGTCGTCGTTCTCATCGTTCTCATCGTTCTCATCGTTGTGGTCCCCGCACCCGTCCCCGTCCCCGTCCCCGTCCTCGTCCTCGTCCTCGTCCTAGTCGTCGAGGGCTTCGAAGGGCCTCCAGACGCCTCCAGAGGTCTCTGAAGACTTCCTCAGGCCTCTGGAGACCTCTGGAGACCTTCATGCAGAGGCGGCCGTTGTCCTCGTCCTTTTCATCGTCCTTGTCATCGTCCTCGTCCTCGTCATCGTAGTCTTCGTCATCGTCTCGTGCCTGTCGTCCTCGTCCTCCTCGTCCTCGTTAGCGGTGGGGATCAAACTCCCCCCCCTGTTCCGGCGGAGGGATAGCAGAGCTCGCACGGTCCAGAGAAGCTCCCCGAACGGGACGCTGCGAGCACCCTGCGGCCCGCAGGCATGGGCCTCACCAGTCCCATGGGGACGCTCCGCCTTCACCGCCCCACGGGCGGCCAGGAGGGCCTTTCGGGGGTGGACAGACCTCCTACCCGGACACGTCGATTCAGGAATCGGCCTTTTTCGGTTCGCGAGAGGGCGTCGCGGCCGTTATTTTTGCGGGTCCAGGTCCGTCGGTTTCGGTCCTTGGCCGTTTTCACTAGGAGGAGGTCTACTACAGGGAGGTTTGTCCACCGCCGAGTCTTTAGGGTCCCGTGGGGCCTCCAAACGGGGATCACCCGCCCCGCACGCGGGCTACCATGGCCCGTGGCACCGCCGGGGCGCCGAGACGAGGCGTCTTCGCACCAGGGGAGTTGCCCCCCTGGCCGCCTCCTCCTCCTCCTCCTCCTCCTCCTCCTCCTCCTGCTCCTCCTCCTCCTCCTCCTGTCCCCCCTGGCCGCCACTTGTGTCAGTCGGGTGCTGCCTGCTCGGCCAACATCCACCCATGTTCCCTGAGTCCCCGGGAGCCGGAGATTTCCAGGGTGCTGCGGGCGAGACCTCCTCAGACCTCTGGAGGCCCCTGGAGTCCTCTTCGAGTGCGCAAGGGTCCCCCAACTCCGGAAGGCCCACAGTGGCGTGAGCGGTGGGGAGTCCCCCCCTGCCCCTCGGTGAATGCTGTGGGTTCTAGCCGAGCTCGCACGGATGAGGGGCGGCTTCCCGGCCACCCCCATGGAGGCCGGTGTGCTCTGGAGCAGGCCCCCGACCGACACCCTGTACCATCTCTCCTCCTCCTCCTCCTCCTCCTCCTCCTCCTCCTTTTCCTCCTCCTTCTCCTCCTCCTCCTCCTCCTTCTCCTCCTCTCTCCTCCTCTCTCCTCCTCCTCCTCCTCCCTCCTCCTCCTCCTCCTCCTCCTCTCCTCCTCCTCCTCCTCCTCCTCCTCCTCCTCTCCTCCTCCTCCTCCTCTCTCTCCTCCTCCTCCTGCCTCCTTGCGGTCCGCCCCGCGCTCCGCCTGCTCCCCCGCCTGCTTCTCTCCGTTCCCCCGGGGGGGGGGGGGATCCGCGCAGGAGCGCGCGCGCGAGCGCGGTGCTGGCGCAGGAGACGTGGCACGCGCTGCGCGGCGGCCGCTGGCCGCGCAGCCCAGAACTACAGCCGGGGCCCTGAAGAAGGAACCCTATTGGTTGGGGAGGGGCTCCGCGTTCCTTAAGTGTTTCACAGCTTGCCTCGGGTTTCCCTTATGTTTTCGATAGGAAATCGAAGTTTAACTTACGGAAAAAGGGGGCTTCGTTCCTTATTCAGGGTTCCTCAGGTCAAGGCCCCGACTCTCCCGGGGGGAACGGAGGCCGGGGCGGCGTCCGGGGGGGGGGGGGGGACATCCCTCCCCGCCCCGCCCTGCCCGGGGCCCGCGTGGGTCTGCAGGGTCCAGGGCCCCCCCCTGAACATACGATCTGGCCACACACTCGTCCTGATACATTGGGGGTGTCTCGGGCCGAGGACCAGGACGGCGTCCGAAGGCGCAGTAATTGCGCCTCGGACGCTGTCCTGGTTCGGCCAACCTTCGAATTTTCGCCTTCGTTGTCGATCCGAACGCCGACGCGTTTTAAACATAAATGTGGTCGGTCCTTGGCGCCATTCCCCCCCCCACCTTGCACCGGGCCCGAGCGAGGTCGCAGCGCCCCTTTGGGGGGGTCCCCGGCCCAGGGGCCAGGGCGGCGTCCAGGGGGGGCCGCCGCAGCGACTCGGGAACCACGGGGCTTGGTGACCGGAGCGACCATGGCATGGCATGAAGCTCGGGGGCGGAAAAGAGGGGGGTGATGACGAGGGGGGGGTGGATATCATGGCGGGGGCCATGATGTCTCCCCAGATTTCATGGCGCCTCTTCTTATTTCATTACGTCCCTGGCCCCCCCGCTGGGCCGCGCACATGCCGCCGGTCATGATTTGCACCCCCCCCTCTTGGACACCCCCCTCTTTGCCGCTCCCGAGAAGCGCGAGAGCCACCGGGGAAGTGGGGGCGTGGGGCTAAGCTCAAGTCGGGCATGTCCCTCTACAGGAGGAATCTTCAAGGATAGTCAATATAATTGTCTGGGAACGATGTTTCTACTATCTTTGTTCCCGACCCTCCTGAGTTGGGCATTCGTTTTGAGTAGAGCACTGCGGTTGCACACCCGTTTTTCTTCCCGCCCCCTTTCCCCTTCTCTCCTGCCTCTCACATCGCTCCTTCCTGCGTGCCAGCTTGCCTCCTACCTGGCCATCCCTGGGGGGCTGCGATCTGTGAAACTGTCGCCACATTCGAGGGCTGCTGGGGGTCCAGCGGAGCGACGTCTTGCGCGAACTCAAATTAGACCTCGCCATCCCTGGGGGGCTGCGACCTGCGCTGTCGCCCCTTTCGACGGCTGCTGGGGGGTCCAGCGGAGTGACGTCTTACGCGGACTCAAATTAGACCTCGCTATCCCTGGGGGGCTGCGATCTGCGAAACTGTCGCCACTTTCGAGGGCTGCTGAGGGGTCCAGCGGAGCGACGTCTTGCGAGGACTCAAATTTGACCTCGCCATCCCTGGAGGCCTGCGATCTGCGCTGCCGCCACTTTCGAGGGCTCCTGGGGGGTCCTGCGGGGCGCTGTCGCGGGCTGCCCGCAGACCTGGCGGCGCGCCTTCGACTGTTTAGCCCCCGCGCTGAAAAGTGCAGGAAGGAAGCAGGGAAGCTCGAGGGCGAGCTAGGCCTCGCTCGTTTTTTGCACTAACTGCAAGTCGGTTGAATCATTTTGTCGAGCGCCGCGACGTCATGGCGCAGGCAGCGTTGCATCTTTAGCGTAGTCCCGACAACAGCAACACTCTTCTGTCTCCTCCCGGCACTCTCGTCGTCGCTGCTGCCGCGCTGACGGTTCGGCCCCCCGCGCGTCCTTCTCCTTCCCTTCGTTCTCGCCCCCGTGTCCTCCTCAAGCTTGGGCCCTCGCTCCTCGTCCTTCTGTTGTTGTTTTGTGAATCGCGCCACGTGAGCGCACCCTATGTAGCTTGCACAACATATAACGGCGCCTGCGCTGTCATTGTCCAGGCAAATTTGGACCACCCTGCCTTGTCATGTGATGCAAATGGAGGGTAAGTTTGGAATATGTTTTACGCTAGGTTCGTGCGGTGATGGCGCGGCGGCGACGCCAGCGAAGGCGTTCAAGGCTGAATTCTGGATCCGACGGAATTCAACAGCGGCTCTTCAAGGCATGGCCGAACCTGGTATTGGGGCCTGGATACAGATCCTCCCCTTGGACTCGCTCCACGGGCAGTGGCACCACTCATGGACTGGGTCCAGCGCGGCCACTGGTTTTTGATTTCGGCTATCCCGCTTACTTTAAGGATTTGGCCCGTTGTCATCGTCCATTGTATTGTTGGTCGCTCTCGGAATCACGTTCCCGTGAGCTAGCTAGCGGTCTCCAATACTTCGCAGATGACTGCTTCATCCTTGATGACGGGCGTCAGGTACCCTGTGCCCGTAGCGAGCTTGGTGATCATCCCTCTCCCCGCAATAATCCTCCACCTCCCCTTCCCTTCTCCCTTGCTCCCAGACCCCCGACGTCATGATTTTTGCATGACGTCGACCCCCGGAGGTCTCGACCCAGTCCCCAGGACCGGTTTTCCATCCCGAGTCGATGTTTGACGGTCCCGAGGCCCAGTAAGGGCCCCCAGAGGCCGAAAACGGCGAAAGACTTCCCGTCGTGATTTTTCCACTACTCGAGGGGGCCTGGGTCCCTTCCTTCTCGCAGCTGCTAGAGCGCGACCGCGTGCCGGGCGCGCCCCCCGCCCCACCCGCACGGGGGGCGCCAGCCCACGCCGGGCGCCCACGCCATCGTCTCCCGCCGGGGACCGACCCCATGCGCCTGGACCTCCCGCCAGAGATGCGTTGGCCAGTGATGGGCATCGCGGCTGTTGCGATCTTCAGGTGGCCAAGAAAGAAGGGTTCCGCTTCGGCGAAGCGCGAACATGAGCCAAGGCTGCCGCCAGCGCGGGCACAGGAGGGGCGAGAAGGAGTGGGAAGGGGACAATGTTCCCAGAGGGCGCAGGGTAAGCAACCGATGGGATAAGGGGAACACTACCATCAAAATATTCTCCGTCCATTCCTCGTCCTCCTCGTCGTCCTCCTCTATGTCTTGGTCTCCGCGCCGCCGAGATCTCTGACGGAGCTGAACCTCGCCTGTAACGGGATCGGCGACACCGGCGCGAAAGAGCTGGCGGATTCCCTACTGTCCAACATAGCGCTGACGGAGCTGAACCTGGTGCAGAACAAGGAGGGGACCGAGGGCTATCTTGCGGGAGGAAGTCAGGAAGGGGAGTGAGGAAGTGCCTCTTGGAGGGAGTGGGGAAGGGAGGGAGTGAGGAAAGGGGGAGTGAAGAAGTGATGGGGGTGAGGAAGGGGCGGAGGAGGGAGTGAGAAAGGGGCGGAGGAAGGTTGTGCAGGGGGGGGACCGACTGCTGGCGAAGAGGGAAGAGACGGGAAGCGATCGGGGGGTTGGCGGCGGCGGCGCGCTCAGCATGTGATTGATTGAGTCGCTTCGGGGTCGAGCCCCACAGGGGTGCAGCTCTCTAGCAGGCAGCTGGCTCACAAGACGGGTGGGGGGAGGAGGGACGGGATGGATTCGGTAGCAAATCATGGGAGACTGGTATACCCTTGCAATTCAGTCTTCCTTGGCATCGATTAGCGTCTATTCGCGTCTGGGAGTCGATGAGATGGTGCCAATTTAGCGTTGGTTAGCTTCGACTAGCGTCGATTTAGCGTCGATGAGCCTCGACTAGCGTCGATTAGCGTCGATTCGCAAGAGCCGACACGATGGTATGGGAGGCTCCCATGACTTGCCACCGATGATGGATACCCTTTTCAAACCGAGGCGAAATCAACTTGCCAGTGTGTCAGGCCTCACCCCATCGCAGGCCCCTCTGTGATTGCCACCGTTACCTCCTCTGCCAGATATAGTAGTACAGCTCGGCTGGTACTTGTGTTGCCTCATCCCATCCCAATCACCCTGATTGCCAACCTCTTTCATCCTTCTCCCTCCTCGCTCCGTCTACATGTTCCTCCTCCTTGCTCCTTCAACCCCCTTCATCTTCCACCGGTCCCCCACCCAACACTGTGCCTCTTCCTCGTGGTCAGTTTACCCTTACCCTATGTGTTGTCCTTCTTCCTCCGCTACCCCCATTATTCCACTGTTTCTTCCCTTGTCCCTCGGTCTCTCCCCATCCTTCTTTTCATCATTCTTATTTTTCACTCCCCTATCCCTTCCTCAGTCTCCTTCGCTTGTCCGTCCGCCTCTTCTTCTCCCTCTTCTCATCAACATCCCCTCCTCGCCTCCTCTTCTCCTCTTCCTCCTCTTCCACCTCTTCCCCCCTATTCTGATCCTGCCGCTTGCCCTCCCCTTCGTTCCATCCTCCTCCTGATGTTGCTGCTCCTCCTTCTCCTGTGCCTTGCCTTCGAGTTGTTGCTCTTCTTGGGCAGGTCTCACCCGTCGACGGGTCCGCCCCAACGCTCGGGCCTCCCCGCAGTCGCCGCGCCCTCCTGGAAACCGTGCTGTCCGTGCGGCTTTTGGCCCTGCTCTGATCAGTTACCCGCCGGTTGGAGTGAGGGCGAGCTCCCTGCCCGAGTCCAGACCAAGTCAGGTAGCTTCCCATCCTCCCGTCCTGGCTCATCCCCCGCTCCTGGTCGCCCCCTCCGCCTCCTCGCCGTCTCGCCTCCTGTCTCCGCTGCTCGCCTCCTCCCTCTCCCCCCATCGTCTGCATTCCGAAGCGCGCTTCTCTCTTCCCTCGTCCTATGCACGACTGAGAGAGGTGTTGCCAAACATCGGAAAAGCAAGTCGGCGGATACCTGGCGCCTGGGGCCCGCGGCGCAGGGAGAGCATCCCGAGCCCTCCTCGCCTCTTCTCCGCCTGCCTGCCTCCCTCTCCAATCCCCCCGGCCACGCGCAGAGGGGGGTATAGGGGGAGAGGGGAAGGCTACTTAGAAGCACCCCCCTGCTTAGAATGCGTGGGCCACCCTTCTAAGAAGCTTGTGGCTGCTGCTTAGAGGCTGTTTCTGGCGTGCTTCGAAGATGCGGGTGGCTTGCTCCTAAGAAGCTGTGCTTGCTTCTAAGAAGCAGCTCCGTGCTCCTAAGAAGTTGCTGGGGTGCTTCTACGACACGGCGCGGCCCTGGCTTCTCGGAAAGGCGGCCGGCGCCTTCTAAGAGGCCGCCGCCTTCGGAGAAGCCCTCCCCCCTCTCCCTGGTTGCCCCCTTGTGCGCGCCGACGGTCCCCCCCCAGATCCCGACGTCATGGTTTATTCATCATACACCTTAGGCGATGCTTAAGAAAACTTGAGTTTTCGGCCAGAGTCTCGATTATTCTTAACGTTTCAATGTAAATCCTACGTTTTTTATTGAAATGTTGGGTTTTTATTCAAGATCTGAGACTATGAATTTCTTAACCCATGATTTCTTCAGCATTTCGCAGGGTGTACCGACCCCCAAAGATCTCGGCCACTTCGTCAGGACCCGCTCCTCGTCCCGGTCGTTTTTGTTGACGGCCCCGAGGCCCAGCGAGGGCTCCGAGAGGCTGACAACAGCGAGCAATTTTCGGTTGAGCATGTTTCATGCTTCGAGGGGGTCTGGGTCTCCTGTCCGTTGCCTTTTCCCTTCCCCCCGCGGGTAGAGCTTTCCCCCTCCCTGCCTTCCCCCCCCTCCTCTGGGCTCTGGCCCGATCTCGGGGACTGGCCCTTCATCACAGACTACTTCGCATCCTCCTCTTCCTCCTCCTCCTCCTCCTCCTCCTCCTCCTCCTCCTCCTCCTCCTCCTCTCTCGCGCTCCTCTCTCCTCCTCTTCCTCCTCCTCCTCTTCCTCCTCCTCTTCCTCCTCCGTCTCTCGGCGGTTTGGGAAGTCGTGGAGCCAAAGCCAAACCAGCCGTCAGGACCTGTTCATGATTTGGGAGGTCCCCGTACCCAGACCCCTTCGGATCATAAGATATCAGGACGGGAGTTGTTGTTTTGATTTTTTCTGCCTCTAGGTGCCCTCGAGGGCCACAGGACCGTCCAACAACGACTCGGAATGAGAAACCGGTCCCGGTGAATGGGTCGAGACCTCCAGGTGTCCACGATCTAAGGAAGGCATGATGTCGGGGCCTGGGCAGTTAACTAACCTCAAAGTGGGACCCCCGACTTGGTCTGGGGCGCATTCTGGCCAGATGTCCGAGGAATGCCCAGGGGAGGCCCAGAGATGCACACTCAGAGCCGTGATCTTAGGTCCTCGACTTCTGGAAGTCCCGACCCTTTCCCTTGATCCTTGACAGTTTTTGGATCCTTGATCCTTGATCCTTGATCCTTAGTCGTGTGCTTGATCCTTGACAGTTTTTGGATCCTTGATCCTTGATTGAAGTTCCCTTGATCCTTGACCCTTGATCCTTGGTCGTGTGCTTGGTCCTTGGCAGTTTTTTTGGAGCGTGATGGCCAGGAAGGCCCGACGAAGGCCCCCCCCCCCCAGAGGCCGCAAGCGGCGAAACACTGCCGTGTTGTTCTCGGTCATCTCGTTGGAAGCTTGGGCTCCACACCGCGTATCCCCGACTCCGGATCCTCTTCCTCGATCCTCGATCCTCGATCCTCTTCCTCTTCCTCGGTCCTCTGCCTCGATCCTCTTCCTCGACCCTCTTCCTCGATCCTCGGTCCTCTCCTGGCGGCGTCCGCCAGATCAGCCTGGAGGCCGCCGGGGAGCTGGTGAGGGCGACCAGGACCCGCGGGGGGCTCATGCCGCGGGGGCCTGCGGCGTCGCCACGCTGCCCATTGTGGGGGTGCAGAGGAGGGCAGGAGGACAGGAGGAGGAGGAGGAGGAGGAGGAGGAGGACGAGGAGGACGAGGAGGACGAGGAGGATAAGAGGGACACGGGGACCGCTCGGGTTCGGAAGGGATCTCGCTGTTCCATCGGGCAATTCCCGAGCTGTTCCTCTAGCGCTCCTCGTGCACTCCAGATTTCGTAATAAAAGGGAGGGGGTCTGGACCCTCCAAGACAAGCCATTTCAGACCTCCCCCGTGGGAGAACCCTCCAAAACATCGTCCCCTGTGGGGGTGCAGACAAGAGGTGAAGGAAGGAACCGCTCGGGTTCGGAAGGGATCTCGCTGTTCCATCGGGGAATTCCCGAGCTGTTCCTCCAGCGCTCCTCGTGCACTCCGTCGTCCTGTTTCCGGAGGGAAAGAAACACACAGACACAATTCATCGGCGACTCCACAGAGAATGTGGGAAGATATGGGAAGTGGGGGGGGAGACAAACACTCAGAAAGTGCAGGAAAGTATGGGGAATCTGTTTATTTGCGTGTATTTTATTTGTGTGTCCCAGGGCCCCTCCACTGTTGGGTGCCACGAATTGGCGTCTTCCCTCGTTTGACGATGCGCGTCGGTGTGCACCCGGCCAGGGTCAGCGCCTGCCGGGGGGGGGGTCGAAGGTTTTCGGAAGCTTCCTGCGGTTTTGGGGGGGGCCCGGGGCGCTTTCCGCCAGCTGCTCCCGGTCAAGACGGGGCAGTCGAAGGCCAGACTGTCAGATCGGATTGGGCCCCAAGGGCCAATCTGGCCTGGCCAGGCTGGATGATTTGGGTTCTTCGCCAGACTGGATTCGCGTTGGCTCCCTCGCCAGATTGCCTCCGTTTGCCAGGTTGGGCCTGCCAGGTTGGCGCCAGATTGGCTTCGACTACCCCGCAAGAGCGTGTCAGGGATGTCGGAGTCGTGGTCCGTGTGGGGCCTGACCCTGAGGGGAAGCGTTTGGGGGGCTAGGCTCTGGGGGGGACGCATCGACCCCCCATCGCCCATGGACCGCCGACAGGGGCCCGATAGCCCGCCCCGCCCGGGAACTTGCGGGTTCGCTATCGGGGGCCTATCGCCGGTCAATCGGCGATGTATCGGAGATTCCACATCGATGGTTTCCCGCTGAGCATGTCTCCCTCGTCCCCCCCCCCCCGTCGGGTCGGACGAAGGTGGGGGCGAAAGGGATTGGGACGGGGGGGGATGCGAAATCTGCTGCGTGTAGGTGGTCTCGGCCTGGCCGCCGAGCGAGCTCCGCGCCACGACACTTGGTCGCCTCTGGCGCCGGGAGGCGCTGTGGAAACCACACGCCTGCACCCTATTCGCTAACACGCCCTTGTCTGAAGTCAAGGCGCTGAAAGAAGGACAGCTTTGGGTGCGGAAGGGGCTCGCTGTTCCTAAGATCATTCCGTGGTTGTTCCTCTGGCCCTCCCTTGTGCACCCAGGCGCTTCCAGTGCCAACCTGAGGGGCGCGCGAACCAGGCAAGGAATTCGAGTGAAACTTTCTGATGACACGCGTGCTACACTTTCCGTCTTCTGGATTGACACCGCTACCTCCGGCTCTTCCTCCTCCTCCTCCTCCTCCTCCTCCTCAGGTCCCCCCTCTGCGCGCACGTATTTTGCCGTGTGAAGAATCCCCCCTCAGCACGTCACAGCTTCCATTCCCTTCCCTCAATGTAATGTTTGGGTGCGTGTATCCTCAGACCCCAGCTGTCCTCCTGAGTGTGGCTTGGTCTGAAGGGTCGTGTGCTTGTCTTGTTGTCTCTTGCTCTCAGCGTGGCGTGGCTTGACAGTGTCGTGCCTGAGTTTGGCTCATCGTCTGTTCGCTTGGCTCACCCTGGCCTCGGATACTTTGGGGAGAAGCATAGACAACGACAGGTGGGGTCTGTGGCGTCTCGTCATTTTCAGAGCCAGCTTGGCTCGAGCGCGATGTGCGTGTAAACACTGCATGGCGATAGGGGAAGAGGTAGGGAAAGAGCGAGAGTGAGAGACGAGCCGCGGATGGGGCTTACGCTTGGCAATTAGGTGAGCGTTGCAACGCGCGTCTGAGTGTCTTGGCTGGAATGCGGGTGCGGCATCTGCAGACGCTCCTTGTGGATCACAAATTGATTAACTCCGATGCGGTCAGTGCCCTCGGGAATCTCCGAGTAGGCATAGATGTTGTCTATTGGCTTAGGTCAATACAGTCCCTCAAGGACGCTTTCGCAGATGCGATCGGTGGCATACCACCTGGGATCTTCTTCTTCGTGGACAAGGAGCTGGAGTGGTATACGAAGTGTGGCATCACGCCTGTCTTTGTGTTTCAGGGGGTTTCGCTGGGTCCCCCGCAGGCCGCATCCGCAGTCAGAATGGACCAACAGATGGACATGGCGTGGACGTACCTGAAGCAAGGTTATAAGAGCGAGGCTCAGAAGTGCTTCGCCGTGTCGACAAGCCGGATCAACAGCGATTTCGTCTATTTGATTTTCCACCACTTGAAGCAGAGGGGTTGCGAAGTCTTGCAGGCGCCGTACCTCGCTGGGGCGCAGCTGGCCCACTTTGCACAGCAGAGGTGCGTGGATATGGTGTATGGTCCCCCCGGCCTGCTGCTTTACGGCATCCCGCAGGTCATTGTTGCTGTAGACTGGGGGAAGGGCCGATTCGACTGGGTGTCGCTGGAGGCGGTCCTGACCAAGTGGACCCTCACCAAGGACCAGTTCATCGACGTCTGCTTGCTAGCCGGCACGGAGCACTGCTTGACTTATCCCTACCTCACGCAGGTGTCTCAGGGATCCAGTTGCCGCTTCAGTTTGGATGCAGCCATCCAGTTAGTCAAACAGGCTCCGCTGATGCAGTGGATGGCCAACTTCCCAAATGACCAAATGAGGGAGGAGCACATTGAGAGCTATAGTATCAGCAAGGTTCTCGTGAATAGCGCCCCCATCCTTCACGTGCGAGACGCTTGTATTCGCCCTCTTGACGAGGCTCAGTGGCCCGGGCAAGATCTAGACAGAGGTGGTCGGAAAGGCATGGTCCCTCGCGATTTCAGCGACATTGTAGGGCAAATGCTTCCAGACAAGCTGTACTTCTTGATGGTGCAGGGTATCATCTCGTCCAAGCTCCCCCAAGCGCTGGCTAAGGGCGAGTGGCTTGACAAGTCGCAGCCGTTCGTGGACACGGCCGAGCTTCGCGGCCTCATCACAGACCTGTCCGAATACAGGCAGGTCGCACTCGGACTCGTGGCGAGGCACCTGCACGCCTCCTACACGAAGAAGAGCATCAGGTGCAACGCCTTCTGGGAGCCGCCCTGGGGACAGGCAGGCGAGGGCTCTGCACTCAGGTCCATCCAGCCGAAGAAGCTGAAGGCGACGCTGCGCTGGCGGTTCTGCACAGAAGACGTGGAGGCTTACCAGCCTGTAACGTATCCCTATCCCTATGCTGGGCACCTCCTCATCACGATGCCAATCTTAGGGATTCCCTTTTTTGTTGAGGGCGGGTCCCTAAGATTGTCATCGCCTTTTGGCGTGTCAATCTTAGGGATAGGGATACGTTCGAGGCTGGTAAGAGGCGGAGATGATGCGGCAAGGGGTCGCCAAGGTCGACCTCAAGTTCTGCCTCAGGTGGCACGCGCACGAGCACACCAAGGACGGGCAGTTCGTCAAGAATCTTACGAAGTTCGGCGAGTCCCAGATCGCACCAGATTTGCTTTCACTGTCAGCCTTGGTGCATTTTATGCTTCTGGAGCACCTGGAGTTGATTGGCGACGACGGTGGAATCACTCACCTGGGCGATGTCCTCAAGGACAGCCCGACGTCGTTTCAGGAGCCGGTGCTGGTGGCCATGGAGCTCATGAAGTTCGGATTGCTGACGGCAGAGCCCTTCGAGCCCGGGCAGCCGGACATGCCGTTCCCAGAGCAGCTGCAGTATCCCAGGATCGGGCGGGCCAAGGACCAGGATAACTCTTTCCAGAGCGATCCGGAAGCCTTTCAGAGCGTTGAAAATGCGCTCTGGAACGACCACCAGAGCCGCCAGGTTCCAGCGATCCCGGTTTACCCCAGTCAGATGTTGTCCTGGTCCTGGTTTCGTCTTGCAGGATGCCGGTTCAGCCAGGCGTCAGATCCGAGTTCTTGCTCAGCCGTGTGATGTCCCTGCTCCCCATGAGGTTAAAAAACCATAGCTGGAATGCGAATGTCGTTTTCGACCTGGCCGCGTTCCACTGCTTCCTGAAGGTTCTCAGGCGAACACTGAGGCAGATGACGGAGGCGGTGCTCACCTCGATCCTGCTGAAGGACATCAGCCTCGTGAGTCTGCTGCCGAGTGGGTTCCTGTGTGCGACACCTCGCCGCGGAGACCCCGTGCAGACGCCCGCCGTTCTCCCAACGTTCATGGTGCCGCGTGCGTGCATGGGTGTGGTTGCACTGTATCCGGCTGCCTGCGGCAAGGCCCACCACCGAGCCAGCCCGGCATGGCCCTGACAGCCACAAAGCGCGTAACCACGGTTTCTCTTTGAGCTGCGCGCGGACCTCCGATAGGTGCTGTGTGCGCAGTTGCCCAGCTTGTTCTTGGGCGCCGACTGTTCGGAGGGGTAGGGGAGGCCGTAACGGGTGACGCCTCGTGCCCCCAGGTTTGGGACAGCCGTGATGAGGATTATGGGTTTACGATGAGGAGGAGGAGGAGGAGGAGGAGGAGGAGGAGGAGGAGGAGGAGTAGGAGGAGGAGGAGGAGGAGGAGGAGGAGGACGAGGAGGAGGAGGAGGAGGAGGAGCAGGAGCAGGTGCAGGAGCAGGAGCAGGAGCAGGAGCAGGAGCAGGAGCAGGAGCAGGAGCAGGAGGAGGTGGAAGAAAAAGGCTGCCACATGTAACGCCTTCTGTCCTTCATGTCCTGAGGAGCTCGCATGGAGCTCAGATGGGTCGTCTTGTGGCTGTCTTGGGCTCCTGTGGGGCAGTCTTTGGGGTCCATTGGTGCCCTCTTTGGGGCGCTTTAGTGGTGTCTTGGGGCCCTCTTGGGCCGTCCTGGGGCTCTCTTGGGTCGTCTTGGGGCTCCTTTGGCTGGAGGTGTCTTTGGGCCGTCGTGGGGCCGTGTTGGCGCCATCTTGGGCCGTGGAAGGGCATTCCAAGGCCTTGTTGGGTCTCTCTGGAGGCCCTCTTTAGCCGTCTTGCACCCGTCTTGGGCCATCATGGGGCCTCATGAGCCGTCTTGAGCTGAAACGTCAATGCAAGCATCTGTCCAAACACATGGTTTGGCATCGATGATGCTGGCCTCCTCGGTCCAGCTGGGATCGGCTTGGAAACCGCTTGAGCAGTCTTGGAGACCTCTTGGCCGTTTCGAGGCGGTATCAAGCCGTCTTGGAGGCCGCATGAGGCCATACTGGCAGCCTTGGTGGCCTGCCTGGGCCGTCTCGGAAGCAAGTGTGGGCATCTTGGACGCGGTGCGCGCAGCAGTCCGATACCAGGAGGGGGGGGGCTTGAAGGATTATTTTGTTCATGCTGGACAGCACTTGGCATTCTACCACACCTCAACGTGGCCCGGCGACACGGTGGCGGATTTTCTTAACTACACGAAGGGGGCGCACGAGTTTGAGTCCGACCTCGCCGAGAATTTCCCATGCTGTGCGCATCCTCTGGCCGACCTCAAGCTGGCGATCCTCTTCTGGGAGGACCTGCGGCGCTGCGTGGACGGCATCGCCGAGCCGCTCGGGGCAACGGAGCTGGCCGAGGACGTGAAGGTCGCGAGCAAGATGCTGCTGGATCAGCAGCGGCGCCTACACGTGTTCCCCGACCAGGGCGACGTGAGCGCGGCTCGCGGCGAGGGCCCGGCGGTGGGCCCCGCGAGGCCCCAGCAGGCGCCGGGGCACGCCCAGCGCGGGCAGCAGGTGCCGCGGGGGCCGCCGCACCACGCCCAGCAGGCGCGCCCGCACCCGCAGCAGCAGCGCGAGCAGCAGCAGCACCCACAGCCGCGCGGGCACCCGAAGGGCGGGGCGCACCACACCCAGGCAGGCGGGTGCCCGCAGGGCAGTGGCGGCCAGCACGGAGGCTCGGGGCCGCGGGCCGCGCGTCTCCCCAGGGCTCCCACGAGGGGGTCGGAGCAGAGGGGGGGTCGGAGGATCGCGCCTCGTCGCCGATGCATCGCCGATGCGGCCCGACGTGGAGCCCGATGTGCTTCACGTAGGCGTCGCCGATGCATCGCTGCTGCATCGCCGATGCATCGCCGATGCATCGCTGATGTATCGGCGATGCGGCGCCATCTAGGAGGCCTCTCTTCTTTCGAAGAGCAAGGACCGCTTGACCAGGGTTTCTCGGAGCTCCGCGCGGCCTTCTTGGATCAGCGCAGGGCCCCCTGGCGGCGCCTCCAGCGCCGCCATTGGCGTGCTCCGCGCACCAGGGGGCATTATTTTGTGGACGTGCCCTGGACCTCCGAGACCCCTGACGTGCTCCGTGCTCCTGGACCTTCGAGAAATTATGTGAATGCAGTGTTTTTCGGCAGCGAGCCTGGGGGGGAAGTGACAAGAGGTGGGCCTTCTCAGAAGGCTCGGAAGTGCCCCGGCCTTCTGACAAGGTGTCCAGGCCTTCCCCGAAGACACCGGGCTCCTGAGAGGTCCCGCCGCCTTCTGAGGAGGCCTTCTCCCTCTCGCTTCCCCCCCTCGCTCGCCGCCGAAGGCCACCCCTCGATCCTCGCGCTGGCCCCCCGTGGGCGCGACGGGCCCTGCAGCCGCGCCCCGGGCACCTGCGCCCGACGCGCGGCGGTGCCTCGCGCCACCGCAGGAGGGCACCTCGGGCCCGAGGCTGCGACCTGCGGGCCAGCGTGCGCCCGAGAGGGCCCGCCGATCAGGGGTGGACGAGGCGCGCTGGAGGTCTGCGAGGTCTGTGAGGAGGAGGAGGAGGAGGAGGAAGAAGAAGAAGAAGAGGAAGAAAAGGAAGAAGAAGAATAAGAAGAAGAAGAAGAAGGGCTTGGCTGAATTGAAGCGATGGGCACCCGCGTGGCAGCCCGGCTGCAGCCTGCCGCCTTCCCCTGCAGGCGGGGAAGCCCAGCCCAGGGGGCGGGGATGGCAGATCCAGGCCCAGGTCGGTGCCGGCGGGTTCGGGTCGCGGTCGCGGACTGCTCCAGTTGTTTTGGTTTGTCTAGGCCTCCTGGATGGGGTCGGAGTTGATGGGGTCGGAGGATCGCGCCGCATCGCCGATGCATCGGCGATGCATCGGCAATGCGGCTCGATGTGGGGCCCAATTTTCTCCACACCGACCTCGTCGATGCATCGCCGACGCCGCCAGCGCATCGCCGATATATGGGCGATGCATTGCCCGTGTATCGGCGAAGATCCTCCGACCCCGTCTATCAAGGGAGAAAAAAACACCCCAACCACCATAAATGGCATTTGCTAAACGGCCCGGGGCGTGTGCTAAACGTGCCTCCCCTGTTCGATTCCTTCTTAGCGTGAGTTTGCGAAGCGCCTTCTTTGGTCGGGGTGCTTACTCTGGGGGTATAGGGTATAGTTCGTTGCTCTCTACTATATTCCGACCCCATCTGGGAGGCCTCTAGTTCGAGGCCTTGCTCTCGGTCCTCGGCTCGGTTCGCGGCACTCGCGGCAGTGGCGCGTGTCTCTGTGGATCGCTTCGCTTGTCTCCCCCCCACACACTCCTGCATGGTGGCGCAGCTCGCTCAACGGCAGCCCCGTTTTGCCTCCTCGCCAGCGCAGTGACCTTGCCTAGGAATTCCTAAGGATTCCCTGGAATTCCGAAGGATGCCTAGGAATTCCTCAGGATTCCCAGGACTTCTCAGGAATCCCTAGGAATTCCTAAGGATTCCTAGCCCCCGACGGACACAGTGTCTCCGTAGGTCCCCGCGGCACCTGCGCCGGGCCCGTGCGCGGCAGGGACGCCCCAGCAGCACCACGCGCACGCCACGAGGTCTCGGGCGTACCCCGTCGCCGGACCGAGGGGGGCCTGCTGCGCATGGAGGGGGGAGCGTCTGGGCGGAGGGCGAGCCCCTCGGACGGCTGCTCTTCTCCTCGAGGGGAAGAGGACCCCCAACCCTGAGAGCACGATGAAGGCGACGTAGCCTCACTGAGGAGGCCCTCCCCCCGTCTTCACACGAGGGATCGTAGATCTGGGCGGCTTGGTTCGATACATCTGCAGAAAAAGAGACCCCCTGTCCCTCATGCTTTGGGCCCTCCTGACTGAGGTCCCCTCCAACAGGGTTAGGGGTCCTCTTCTTGCTGATCTCATCCCCGCCGCGTCCCCGCGCCGCCCTGGGCGGCGTGACAGACGGGGCCCTCCTTGCGCAGAGCTCCGGCTGCGCGGATCTCCCGACCATGGCGCGGCGCGCGAGCGCCCTCGCCTTTCGCGCGGTGTGCGGTGCCGGCGGCCCGCGTGGGCCACGGTGCGCCGCGGTGTCGCCGTGCGTGGGGCCCAGGCCTCCGCTTGGCATCGCTCGGACGTGTGCAGGCTTTCTCGGCGAGCAGCACCGAGACGTGCACGGCAAAGGGACGTTTGAGCGACGGCGATGTCGAGGCAGATCCGAGAGCCTCCAATGGAGGCTCTGCCTTTCACTGCCCACGCAGTTCAGGAGGAGGAAAAACACAGACACAATTAATCGTCGATTCCCGAGAAAAGATGGGAAACTATGGGCAGTGGGGGGGAAGACAGAAACCCAGAAAAGATGGGAAAATATGGGGAAATTCCTTTCGTTTGTGTGTGTATTTATTTGTGTGTCCCAGGGCCCCTTCAGCAGTGCTTGCACTTCGGGGCTCTTACTTCTGTTCTGAGGCCGTCGGGGCCCAGCGGCAGTCCCGGCTCGGCGCCGCCCGCCGCCGCCGCGGCGGGGGTCCGGTGGTTGTCCGGGCGGCTCGTCGCCGCGCGCCGCTGCCGCCCGCCGCCGCCGCCCGTGCAGTGCGAGGGCAATCGCGGTGCAAGCGCACTGCGTTGCGGTTGCAGTCGCACTTCTTGGCGATGCTTGGCACTGCTCGGCATTGCCTCGCCCCTCTCTGCGTTGCTTCACTTGCCTTGCTTTTTGCCTTGCTTTGCATATCATCGCATATCGTCGCTTTTTGCCTTGCTTTGCATCGCATTGAGTTCCTCTGCATTGCTTCGCCTTGCTTTGCATTTCTTTGTGTTGCATGGCATTGTTTTTGCAGTTCGTTGTGTTGCGTTGCTTTGCTTTGGAGTACAATCGCATGGCTTTGTATTGTGTTGCATCGCTTTGCATCATTTTGCATATCCTGGCATCGCAACAGGTCGCTTTGCATTGCGTCGCGTTGCTTTGCAGTTCGTTGCATTGCGTTGCTTTGCATTGAATTGTAATGCAATTGCATTGCTTTGCACTGCTTTGTATTGCATTGCGTTGCTTTGCTTTGCGTTGCTTTGCATTGCTTTGCATCGCTTTGCATCGCTTTGCATTGCATCGCATCGCATTGCATTGCGTTGCAGTGCTTGGCATCGCTTTGCATTGTGCTGTTTTGCTTGACATTGCTTTGCTTTGCATTGCGCTGCGTTGCGTTGCATTGGTTTGCAGTGGCTTGCATTGGTTCGCATTGCCTAGCACTACACTGGTTTGCCGTGCATTGGTTTGCATCGTTTTGCTTTGCTTGGCATTGGATTGCATTGCTTTGCAGTGCTTTACAGTGCTTTGCTTTGCATTGCAGTGTTTTGGATTGCTTTGCAGTGCCTGGCAGTGTGTTGCATTGCTTTGCAGGGCATTGCATTGCTTTACATTTCATTGCGCCGTACAGATTGCGCCACATGGATTGCACCACCTAGGTTGTGCCACAATGACTGCTTGGGGTCCACCCGTGATAACATTTGTAGGAATTCCATCATCCAACTTGAGTTTTCAAAGTCGAACATGGCTCCTTCAATTTAGGGGTCACCCCTTGAATATGTAAGGGGCTCGTCATTTCAATGTAAGGGCTATGCTTCTCAAATCGCGTAATACATATGTTATGTGGAATTCGTCGCAGGCCGTGCCGTCGTCGTCTTTCGCCGCCTTTGTCGTCGTTGTCTGCGTCGTCGTCGTTGTTGCGGCTGTCTTAGTCGTCGTCATTCCCTCGTCGTCGTCGGTCCTCGTCGCCGTCGTCGCAACACGCGGCCTTTGTATGTTCTTCGCGAGCGTTGTGCGCGCATCCTCGTCCACGTCGTCGACGTCGTCCTCGTCATCGCCTGGAGCACTCGACAACGACGACGGCGACAACGACGAGGACGACGACGGCGCGACGACGGCGACGACGATGCCGACGACGGCGACGGCGACGGCGACGACGAGGAAAGCGACGACGAGGACGACGACGACGGTGACGACGACACGAACGACGACGGTGACGATGACGACGGGGGCAACGACGGCGACGAGCACGGGGACGACGGCGATTGCAACGAGGACGATTGTGCTGACGACGGGGACGACGACGGCGACGACAGCGAAGGCGGTGACGAAGACGGGCTCAATAAGGACAACGAGGACGATGACGGCGGCGACGGCAACAACGCCGACGCCGTCGGCGTCGACGACGACGGCAATGACGGCGCCGACGGCGACGGCTAAGGCGATGACGACGGCGACGACAGCGACGGCGACGGCGATGACGACGACCCGGGCAACGACTACGACGGCAACGACGACGGCAAAAGCGACGACGGGGACGACTACGACGGCGACGAGGGTCACAATTTGGACGGCGACGGCGGCGACTGCGGCGGCTTCGGCGACGACGACGGCCACGACGACGGTGACGACGACGACGACGACGACGACGACGACGACGACGACGAGGGCGACGACGGCTACGGCGACGACGACGACGCTTACGACGGTGATGGCAATGAGGACGACGACGACGTCGACAGTGACGACGACGAAGACGACCAGGGCGGTGACGGTGGTGACGGCGAGGACGACGGGAGGACGATGCCGTTCTCGATGGGGGTGACGAACGGCATCAATGCCGACGACAGCGGCGGCGAGGACGACGTCGGCGAAGACCAAGTAACGACGAGGACGACGATGGTGACGGCGACGACGACGACGACCACAGCGAACACGACGACGGCTACGACGACGAGGGCGGCGGCGACGACGAGAACGACGACGACGAAACCGACGACGGTGACGGCGCGGACGACGACGGCGAAGACGACGACGTCAAAGTCGACGACGACGGTGATAACGCCGACGGCGATGACGGCGGCGACGAGGACGACAAGGACCAGGGCGAAGACGGCGACGACGACAACGTCGACGACGACGACGTTGACATGGCGACACGGCTCGTCTCAATTGTTGTTCAAGACGAAGATGTTCGTACAAGCGAAGCCAAAACGAAAGCACATGTCCAACACGCGCGTTCAAACGGAATTGGTGCCAAACGAACGCCACACGTGAAACGATGCCGCCATTCAGCCAGACAATAAGACGAAACATTGAAATATCGTCCCAGACCGCGATTAAATTTGGAATCCAACCGATCACCGCTAAACTATTCTCCAGGCACAAATGTTGACTTCTCGTTCTTGAAGGGCGTGGGGGGGATTTCAATGTTATCTTCGAAATCGGATCGGTAACCGCTCAGGGTTCTCTTTAGTTTCCAGGGCGACATGGCGATCTTCCGATTGTGGACAATGCAGAACTGTTTACGCCGCGCGCCAGCGCGTTCGCACGTCGTACGCTGTACCAGTTGATGTCTGAAAGCTCACGCGATAATTCAAAACGCTCCACGCGCGCGCTTCTCTGTAGTTTGCAGGCCAACGTGGTGACTTCTGTATTGTGGGCCATACAGAATTCCCACGCGCGCGCGCGGTTAACGCGTGTAACTTTTGCGCGCTCGCGGGCGTGCGCTCTATATTGCCACAGGCAGGAACGTTCACAACAACATGTCAGCTCAGAAGTTAATTCGGTCACAGCTGAAGCACCATTCTAGCCTCCAGGCCAACATGCCGACTCTTCTGCCATGAACACTTTCAGAATCCACGCGCGCACGCGCGTGGGTGCCGCGTCTCACCCGCGCGCCTGGGGAGCCTTGTATTGCCCGCATCAGGGAACAGGCCAACACAACCACGTTACTCCAGATTTCGTAATAAAGGGAGGGGGGTCTCATTTCGGGGGGGGGTCTTTTCCAAGCTATCTTGGAGGGCCTGGGGGGGGTCTGGGGACGATGTTTTGGAGGGTTCTCCCACGGGGGGGGTCTGAAATGGCTTGTCATGGAGGGTCCAGACCCCCTCCCTCTTATTACGAAACCTGGAGTAACTTGGAGATGGGCTCCACCACCGCAGATGGTGCGCTTGGCGTTTCCAAGCCAGCATGGCCACTTTTGTGTGCCGTGGGTCGCGCAGGCGCCTGCCCGCTCGCGCGGGTAGCACGCGCGTCACCCGCGCGTGGCGGGTGGCCCGCGCGCGCGAATCAGCTGAACACCCATATGTTTTTTCGCTACGGGTTCACTTTATTTCTTCCCTAAACCATCACGGCGACGTGTCTACCTGTGAAAAGCTCTAACTGCCACCCACAGCAAAAAAAAACACTCTGCGGCGCGAGTTGCCCTATCACGAGAGCTATATCAGAGCGATCACGCGACGCGAATTCAAAATGAAATGTCGAGTGGAGCGAAAGAGGCACGCAAACCGACACAGCAACGGCACGCGCGCCAAAAACAGCTTCAACGTCAGAAGCGCTAGAAATCGCTAACGGGAGCAAGGCGTAATAACAACGAAGAGCGGCACGAAACTTAACACACTCACCATAACCGGGCAAACCAACGTTTATGTAAAGAGTTGGTTGCTACACATGTATAGAGTTGCTGGGAAGCATTACCTAAGACCTAATAACATTTTCGGCGAGGGCTTAACAGGAGGCCCCCCCCACCACTCAGGGTTTTTGTGAAGAGTGTCCAGCAAGCCTCCTGCGGCGTTCCAGACTCTCATGTGTTGTCGGGTCCTCGGCTTGAATATGCGGCGCCTCGCGTCTCACCTCCTTCTGCCTTCCTCCGTTCCCTTCTCCCTAGTCTACACTTCCTCGTCCCGCCTCTGCTTTCTGCGTGTCCGCGCTGGCACACATTTCACACGTCGTTTCGTGCCACATTGGGAGCTCCACCTACGGCACCAGTGAGGGCGCCCGCATGGTCCCCTTGTCCATTCGGCACACACGCGAAAACACACACACACACACACACCGCAGATCGTGCCCCATAGAGAATTCCACTTCAGGCGCCAGCTGGGGCGCCAACTCTCTTCACACGGCTCGCGCTCCATCGCGCTCCATCCGTCGTCAGCCAAGGCGCCCGCATGGCCCCATGGCGTCCTCCCTCCCATGCCGCGACAAGCTTCACACGGATGGGGTCATTCTTTTTGTTTGAAATTTAAAGTACCCCCTTAATGGTGGCCTTTGTCGATCTCCAAGTATGCGAAAATACTTTAGTGATTCGTTCTCTGTCTCGTTGACTGGCGGCCTCGTTTCATGTTTGGCTTTCGTTTGCGCTGGTTTCGCTTGAACTCTCGATTTAAGCATTTGGTTTCGTTTCGTTGTTAGTTTTAAGCGCATTTTTTAGAATAGCAGTTGGGTCGTTCCATGTCGCAATGTCAACGGTCGGCGTCGTCGCCGTTGTCGTTGTCGCCGTCGTCGCCCTGGCATGTGCCGTCCTCGTCGCCGCCGTCGTCGTCGTCGTGGCCGTAGTCGTTGCCGTCGTCGTCCAGGTTGCCGTTTTGGTCGCCTTTACCGTCGTCGTCTTCGCCGCCGTCGTCCGCGCCGTCACCGTCGTCGTCGTTCTTGTCGACATCGCCCTCATCGTCGTAGCAGTCGTCGTTTTCGTTGTTGTCGCCGTCGTCGTCGCTATCGTCGTACTCCTCGTTACTTGGTCATCGCCTTCGTCGTCGCCTTGGCCGTGGTCACTGTCGGCGTCGTCGTCTTGGAGGCCATTGAAGTTGTCATCGTCGCCGTCCTCGTCGTGTTTGTCCTTGTTGCTGTCGTCGCCATCGTCCCTGTTGTCGCTGTCGTCGCCGTCGTCGTCGTCGTCGTCGTCAACGTCGTCCCTGCCGTTCCCGTCGTCGTCGACTTCCTAGCGCCATCGCCGTCGACATTAATGTCGTCGTCGTCGCCCATGTCGTCGTCGTCATCGCCGCCTTCGTCGTCTTCCTGGTCTTCATTACCCTTGTCGTCCCCGTCGTCGTCGTCGTTGTCGTCGACGACGTCATCGCCGTGGTTGCCTTCGTCGTCGTCGTTGTCGTCGTCGACGTCACGGCCGTCATCGGCACCGTCCCCGTCACCGTCGTGGCCGTCGGCAGGGTCGTCGTCCCAGTCGTCGTCGCCAGGAGGACGTCCTTCTGAGAAGATGTGGGTGGGGGGCTTCTAAGGTTTTCGAGGGTGAAAGAACCCCTAACCTTAATAACACGATGAAGACGTAGCCTCACTGAGGTCCCCGTCTTTGCACCAGGGGTAATTATTCAATTAGGAGCACCAAAAACCCCCTTTGGGAGGGAACCAACCTAAGTTAGGAGGGCCAAAATCATTAGGGATAAGGGGTCTTGTCTGCAGATGCATCGAACCAAACCGCCCAGAATTAATTTCCCAAATGCACATACGGGGGCCTCAGTGAGGCTACGTCTTCATGGTGCGATTAGGGTTCAGAGTTCTTGTATCCTCGATGACCCTATGCGCGCTGCCAAGCTGTGGCCCCGGATTCCTGGACAGCTTCCGGGGACCAGGCACTCGTCCTGACCTGAACTGTCCTTGGCAGCCCCCAGAGGAGCCCGAGAAAACGGGCCCCTCGCGAGGCCGGGAGAGCGGCGCTGAGAACGTCCCCTCCGCCGCTGACCACTGGCGAGGCGGCCCGGCCGCAGGAGGTCTCCAACCCCAGCCACTCGGACCCCATCCAGGAGGCCTCCATGGAGGCGAGCCCGCCTAGACCCGCCCGTCACATGGGGCCAGCCAAGAGGGGGGTTGAGGATTGTTTGGGGGGGGGGCTGGACATCATGGCCAGGCCATGGTATCTCCCAGGCTTCACTGTATGCATCATTTGGCCCCCTTTCCCCCCCCCCGGCCGCGCACATGCCTCGGGCCATGATCTGCGAACTCCCCTCCGCCCCCGAGTCCCGGCCGGCCCGCCCGACCGCGACCAGGCCGGCCGTCAGCGCCCGCCCGCCCGGCCCGACCCGCCCGCCCAGTCCCTCCTCCCCCGCCTGCGGACCCGCCAGGGTCTCGAGGACCACCTCTTCGGGCCCCAAGAATATACACCACCACCACCACCTCCATTCCTCCTCCCTCCTCTTCTCTCCTCTTGCTCTCCTCTTTCTCTCCTCTTTGGCGGGAGAGGGAGGGGGCGAGGGAGGTGGTGGTGGTGGTGTATATGTTTTACTCCGTACCTCTGGTGATGAGCACAAGCAGCCTTTCTAGGCCGGCCTGAGCTAGCTCCGCTCCCGACGCTCCGCTGCCGTGGTGCTCCAAGCGCCTGGCAGGCCAGGGTGTTCCCTGCCTCTGCTCACTCTACTTGGGCTGCTCCCGACTCTGCTGATCGCTGCGCTCCCCCTGCCCCTCGCCTCCCCTCCTCCCTACGGCCTGCCGTCGTAAAAGCGTGGCAAGCCAGTCGAGGTAGGGGGTGGGTGGGAGCAAAGTGTTGAAGCCACGCTTGGCCCCCTTCGATCGAGGAGCCAAGGCGCACTCTAGAGGAGAGCCGCTCTTCCACAGCCGGCACCCCTCTGCAGAGTCGATGGATCGACCGATCTCCTCCTCCCCCTCCTCCTCCTGTGGCCCCGCGTGGCTGCGCCGCTCGCCCCACGAGGCTGCGGGCAGCGCAGCGGCGGCCCGCAGCAGCACGGCGCCCCGCACCCCGGCGGCGCCGGCCGCGGGCCGCGCGGCGGCCGCGGCAGACAGCAGCACGTCGGCGGCCAGCAGCACGGCGGCGGCCCGCCGCACGGGGACGTTGGTGGCGGCGGTCACCCGCAGCATGGCCAGGCTTTGGTCTCGGCGCGAGCGGCATGGGTGCGGAAAGAGTCGGCCAAAAAGCATTCGGCGCCACCCCGCCTGAGGCCTTCCATGTTGCGCTACGGCCCATCGGGCGCCGTAGCGTGCACCACACAAAAACACACGCCAGATATCCTGGCATTCGCCAAACCCCGCGTGGCCGCAGATGGGGTGTTGTCGTTTGTTTCTTGGTCCACAGAGTGGGCACGAAGGCCTGCAGGATGCCCTGTTCATTTGGACAGGCCTCGCTTTTGTTGTGGCCGCGGGCGTTGTCCGTTTGAGACAGGAAGGCAACCTGCCCAACAGCGGCCGCGGTCTGTTTGGGACACCACCTGCTGTTGGAAATCGTGCCCATCTTTTTTCGTACCCATTTCGGGCGTCCAAATATTCAAGCAGTGACGAAGCGTCCTGACATACCAAAATGCTCACCAACTACTGGTCTGAGAACCTTCTGTGCGTTTTCCATTAACTTTTCTTAGAACATGTATGGCTGAGACAGTTACATTGTAATCTCCCCTCACTTTTTATAGTCTGTCGTTCGACTCTTTTTCCTTGAACGGAGCCTCTTGATCTGTGCAGTCTGATCCCGTGGTGATGTGTTGGCTCGAAGCCGTTCGGGGGTCCGCTCCGGCTCAGCCTCCGCGGTGGATGCTGGGCGCCCTCTGCACGGCGGCGCCCTGGCTGGGGCAGCTGGGGGCCGCCTGGGTGGCGCGGCCGCCGCCCTGCCCGCCTTGCCCGGCCTGCCCAGCGGCGGAGCTCCGCTGCGAGCCGCACTGCGGCTCCTGCCCGGCGTGCCCGCCGTGCCCTGGCTGCCCGGCGGTCAGCTGGGCTGCGGGTCCAGAGGCCTCCTGCCCGGCCTGCCCAGCGGCGGCCTGCGAGGAGGCGGCGGCGGCGGTCTGTGACTCGCCCGCCCCGGCCGCCTGCTGGGGCTTCGCGGCTGGGCTGGGGCTCGGCCTGACCGCTGGCCTCGTGCTGGCGTGGGCGCTTGCCGTGGGCCTGGGAGGTGTGCGGCGCCTCGCGAGGCGCGCGGTGCTCCTCCTCGCGCAGAGCGACGGCGGCGCTGGCAGCGTCGTCGAGGTCGACCGCGGCGACGGCAGGCAGGCGCGCTTCCGTGCCATCAGGGCTTGATGGCGGCGGGGCCGAGGACGCTCGACGTCGCGGAGAGCCAGATCTGCATCAACTTCGACGACGACGAGAACTTCCGGTGGCACCACCGGCTGCTCCTCGTCCCTGGGCACGCGCCTGGGGAGTGGGTGGCCGCGACGCCGGACGGCGAGGTCCTGGTGCTGCAGCTCTCGGCGCACCTCGTGGTTGCGCTCACGCGGAACGCCCCCTTTCCGCAGCGCGTCCGTGGGAACGTGTACGCCTTCGGCGACCTGGACCAGGACGCGCTGGAGCACCTGCGCATCGAGGGGCGGAACCTCGCCCGGGTGCTGGGGGTTGCCGTGCCAGCCGCCCCACCTGGCGCGCGGGTGGCTCGCTGGGTGATCGCGGATCCCGCCGTCGAGGGCTTCGGCGACGAGGTCGAGCCGGGCCTGGCCGCGAACGCCGACCGGTTCGTGGGGCGCGACGCGGTGGGGCTGGCCCTCGTGGACGACGAGACTGGATGGGTGGCCATCGAGAACGTGCAAGCGGAGGACCACTCGCACTGGGTGGCCGAGAAGCGGCGGGGTCCTGGTCGCGACCCTCGGATCCTGCCGCTCCCGCCGCCGGCTCAGGGCAAGCGGGTCCAGCTGAGCTCGGTGATAGCCGCCCTGAAGCCTCAGGACGACCCGTCCTGGCCGTTCAGGGGCCCGAAGGCGCTGCCGGAGTTCTTGGAGGCGGTCGACGCGTCGGGGCTCACGCTGACCGCGTACTGGGGCTACTGGGTCGAGCAGTCTGGCGTGGCGAGGCTCAGCGGGCCGTCGCACGAGCTGAAGGTGATCCTCGAGGTGCTGCATCACGCGCTGGTGTACGATCGCCTGGATGTGACGAACCTCGCGAGCTTCGAGCTGCTGGCTCGCCGCGCCCTTCAGATCCAGAGGGCGGTGAAGCGGTGCCCGAGGCACCCGACCTTCGAGGGCCTGGACCTCATGCTGAGCAGCGAGCTCGACGAGACGGGGGGCGTGGTGACGTCCCGCTTCGACGCCTTCATCGCGGAGGAGCAGAAGAATCGCGGCATCATCCTGAAGCAGGAGCGGCTCTGGCGCGAGGAGCAGGACCACGAGATGAGGAAGTACGAGAGGTCCTCGGGCTCGGCCGGGGCGGACGACAGGGAGCGACGGGCCAAGAAGGCTTCGCCAAAGGAGAAGGCGAAGCCGCGGGCCAAGCCTGCCGACGGGTGAGGGCGCCATGTCGGTGCCCTCCTGGCCCGGCGTTCCGCCAGGCCTCACCTTGCCCGCTGCGGCGCCGCTCTCTCCCGAGGCGCAGCGCGGGCGGTCTTCCGAGGGGGTCTCCTCCGAAGGCCAGGCTTCTCTGTTTCCTCTTCCTGACGGCGGCCGTCTTTTTCGTGCTGCCCGACGTGGAGAACGTGCCGCTTTGCCTCGGTACCTGGCCCAGCGCGCTGCCCGCTCAGACGACAGGGATCGGCGAACTGTCGAGGCCATTTCGTCCATCAACGCGCTCAGCTGCGCCCAGGCTGGAAGGCCGCTGCGACTGCAGCCGCCGAGCAAGTTGCCGCCGACTACCGCCCAGGAGTCCGCGGTCAGGCGGATCCGACGACGAGTTCGAGAGTTTGGTTCAAAGCCCTCGGACATGGATCGCGCTGGAGCCCTTCAGGAGCTCCTCAAGTGCAAAGACCTGTACAGCGGTGCAGGCGAGTGCTCGACCCGACGGGACTACGACCCCGAGCGGCTCAACGTCTTCCGGACCTCGGCCGTGCCGATCAGGCTCCGCGACGTCGCGCCCGCTCACGTGGCCGAGGCCCTCGACAGTTTTGACTCAGAGGTGGTGCGGCCCCTGGCGGACATCGCCCCGGATGAGGAGATCGTCGAGCCGTACTGGGACCCGTTGCTCAACCCTCGGACGAAGGCCAACCGCCCGAGGCTTGTGGACTTCTTGTCCAGGATGGCCGTGCGAGGCCTGGTCGACGGCAGGCGTCGTCGGAAGGCCTGCGTCAGCACGTTCTTCGTGGCGAAGAAGAATGGCGACATCCGCATGGTGGTGGACGCCCGACAGGCCAATCAGCTTCATCGACTTCCCCCTCGGACCACCTTGGCGTCAGGGGAGGCTCTCGGTGCTATTAACCTCCTCGACGCTGTGGATGCGTCGGCGGAGGACCTGGCCGACTTCGACGGCTGCTTCGACTCGCTGTGTGCTGGCTCAGTGGACCTGCAGGATGGTTTCTACCAGTTCAGTGACCCGTCCTGGGGGTCTTGGATGTGCTTCGACGTGGAGGTCACCGCGGGCGAGCTCGGGATCGACACGATCTACGACGAGGACCAGCGCTGCCGCGTCGCGGTCGGGAAGGACGAGCTCGTCTGGCCCTGCTTTGCGGCGCTGCCGATGGGCTGGAGCTGGGCGCTCTGGATGTGCCATGAGGTCCTTGTTGACGCGATGGACACTGTGGGTCTGGCTGGAGATACGTGGGTCCTCGACAAGGCCCGCGCTCCGCAGATGCATGGTGGCCGGGTGGCCATGGCGCCTTACGTCGACAACGGCAACATGGTCTCGCTGTCGGCGGCCGCCGTCAACCAGAGGTTGGCGGCGCTCACGGCGGAGCTGGACAAGCGCGGGCTGCGCTGGCATGAGCTCGAGTGGGCTCAACCTGGCCTCACCGTACTCGGTCTCGTGCTTGACGGCCGACGAGGGCGTCTCCGCCACACGGCGAAGCGGGCCTGGAGGCTCTACCTATCACTACACCGGGTGGTGGAGGCGCCGTGGCTGGCGCGGTGGCAGCTCCGGCGGATCGTGGGTCACATCGTCCACTACTTCTCGGTGCTGCGACCGGGTCTCAGCGTGCTGGGCGAGTGCTATGACTTCATTGGCAGTGGTCCTCTCGACCCGGTCGTCCGACTTCCCAAGGGCGTCATCGCCGAGCTTAGGGTCGCTGCTGGCTTGGTCTTCCTCGGCGAGGTGGACCTCTGCAGGGTACCGGCGGACGTCGCCTTCGTCACCGACAGCTCGCTCAAGGGCTACGCTGTTTGCCAGGCGCGCGTGGAGCCCGCCGAGGTGCTGGAAGCCACTCGCTGGAAGGAGCGCCAGAGGTTCGTCGCGACCGAGGCCCCCTCCGATCCCGACGCCGAGGTCTTCTTGGGTCGCGCCACCGGGGTCCTGGACAGCGGAGGCGACTTCGACCTCAGCTCGCGGCCACAGCTGCGGCACGCCGTGGCTAGGCGCCGGCGCGTGGAGCTGGAGATTGGGATCCCGCCAGCGGCGCTGTCGGAGGAGCTGCTCGACCCGCTGCGCTGGAAGGAGGTGCGCCGCGGCGCCTGGCGGCACCCCGGCCGCATTCATGCGCTGGAGGCGCGCGCTGCCGTGGCGCCGATGCTGCGGGCCGCCGCGGACAGGAGCTTCCATGGCAAGGAAGTCCTCGGTCTCTGTGACAACATGTCGAGTGTCTGCGCCTTTGAGAAGGGCCGTGCGACGAACTGGGAGCTGCTGGCTCAGTGCCGCAAAGTGGCGGCCGTCTTCTTCGCCTGCGAGCTGCGTCCCAGGTGGCGCCACGTTCCAGGTGAACTCAACGTGGCCGATCGGGGAAGCCGAGCAGCGGACCGAGGAGAGCTGCTGCCTGGGCGATACCGAGGCCGCGGGCCGCTGCTGGCGCCCTCGCCGGGCTCGAGGCACGAGCTGGTGCGCGCGGTGCCGCGACCAGTCCCAGGGCCCATCCTGTCGACCATCATGGTCAGCGACGCGGGCAGCCTGGACGCCCGGGAGCCCGCGCCGCCGCCTTGCCCGCTATGCACCACGGGCGGCTATCCTTTGCGGAGACGGAGTTGTAAACACAGTTCTTCTTTTCTACATTCCCATTCTCTACCAGCTTGTCACGAGTCTGATGTCTTGGGAGGCCTCACGGATCCGACCGTCCTCGTTCATGACGCCGCAGTCCCCTACGGGCCCCACGCCGCTGCTGCTGCCGCTTCAGGTCATGAGGCACCTCGAGGCCATGATGTTCCCACGCCGCCGCGCGCCGCCGCTGGCCGCTGCTGCCCTGGAGGCCCGGAGGGGCCAGATCACGTACATCTACGCCGTCCAGGGGAAGCAGGGGGCCGAGCGTCGCCCCGGATGCCGACGGGATCGTCTCGGAGGAGCTGTCCTGCAGGCCTGGATGGGCCGTGGCCTCAACGTGGAGCTCATGATGGGGACCCCGTGGGAGCACCTGGTGCTCCCCACCGTCGCTTTCGCAAGCCTGGGTTCTTGGAGGTATTCTCGGGCTGTGCACGTCTTACCGGAGCCGTTCACGAGGCTGGGTTCAGATGTCTGGCGCCGATCGACATACGTCGGGGTCCTCACTGCGACTTGGGATGCCTGGGGCTCCGTCGCCTGGTTGAGTCTTGGCTCAAGCGAGGCCGCGTCTGGTGGATTCACATCGGGCTGCCTTGCACTCGCTGGGTACCTGCCGGCGGCCGCAGAGAACCGGGGCCCGTCGACCGCCTCCTCGTGGACTTCACGCGGCGGCTGCTTCGGATCTGTCGCCAGAGAGGGGTGCACGTCACTTTCGAGAACCCCCGCGACAGTCGGGTGTGGAACTACCCGCCACTGGCTCGCGAGCTTCGGCGGCTGCGCTGGCCCAAGGTCACCTTCGACAGCTGCCGGTTCGGCGCCCCGTTCAAGAAGCCAGGAGCGCTGGCCGGGTCGTTCGAGGCGCTGGAGGCCGTGGGGCTACGCTGTACCTGCCAAGGCCGCCACCCCGTGGTGCTGCAGGGCAAAGTGCGGCATCCCGTGCGCGGCTGGGTGTGGCGGACGACCCTGGCGGGCGCCTACCTGCCCAGCTGGTGCCGAGCGGTCGTGCAGATCGCCAGCTGCGATGCCCCGCCCAGCGCCTGGGGCCGCACAGAGCCCGCGGGCTGGGCGTGTTGGGATCACGCGATGGCGAGCGCGGTCGGTGCCCGCGAGCCCGCAGCGAGCTCAGCACCGATCTGCCCGCGCAGGTTCCGTCTCCCCTGGCGGGCGGCCTGGCCGAGCGCACTGGACCCCAGACCGCGCTCGTGACGCAGGCGCAGGGCTAGCGGAGCAGACTGGAGTGGCGTCCCCGCGCTTGAAGCGGCCGCTGCGAGTCCCGCGAGCCGAGGCCACCGCCAAGCGGCAGCGCCGCGCGGCAGCTGCCGCCAGAGCCGACGCCTCGCTGGCCGACACCCCGTGGACGCCCGGCGACTACCTGCGTCTGGCGCGCCTCAGGCCAGCCACTCGCGACGCCTACGCTGCAGCAGTGGCCGAGCTCGAGGACTTTGCCGCTAGGCTAGGGCTGCGCTTGGACAGCGCAGAGGCGGCTGACCACACTGTCAACCTGTACTGCGAGGCCCTTTTCTTTGCAGGCGAGCCGCTCTACCTAGGCAAGAACGCTCTTTACGGCCTGTGCAAGATCCGAGGCTGGTCTGCTGCGCGGCCGCATTTCCAGCGATCCAAGGATGCGCTTGACGGCTGGGCGGCGAAGCAGCCCGCGAAGCCGCGGCAGCCCCCGCCCTGGGACGCTGTGCTTCTCCTCATCATCCATCTTGCCAAAGGCTCGTTGTTGCAGGCTTTAACCGCTCTCGCGGTCTTAGTCCAATTTGACATGTACCTGCGCCCGAGCGAAGTGCTCGCCTTAGAAGTCTCGCACGTTGTTGGTGATCGTCGCATTGTTGACCAGCCGCGCTCAGGGCGCCAGGAGGTAGCCGCTATCATCGCCCCGCTTGGACACGAGGAATCTAAGCCTGCCAAGAACCGAGATTTTGATTGCACAGTCGTTGCTGGGTCTCGACTTCCGATCCGCCGAATGTGCCCTGGAGTGCTGCTTGCGCTTCAGGCTCGTGCTCGTTCCCTTTCGCCTCCCGCCTCGCTTCTTTTTGCCCCTCTCTCTCTTTCTGTGTACGAAAAGGTCTTGAGAGAGGGTGCCCTCGAAGCTGGGGTGCACGACCTCCTTAGTGTGCCCCACCAGCTCCGACACGGTGGCCCGTCCCACGATGCCCTGCACGCGGTCCGCGACCTCGGCGCCATACAGGCCCGAGGCCGGTGGCGGGCCGCCTCCAGCGTCCGTGTCTATGAGAAGCATGGTTCGCTCCTGAGGCAAACGGCAAAGCTTTCCAGTGCTCAGCGTGCCCTCGCCTCTCGCTTCGACGACCGTGCTCTGCTTGCCATTCTCAAACGTGTCGCTTCAGTCGAGCATCCGATAGTGAGTTGATTTATCTTTGAGGACCCTCCCGCCCTCCCTAGGACATAGATATGGGTACGGGTCGTGTGGCAAAGTGATGGCGGTTTAACGCTGGTGTTTGTGCTCGGCCCAGGCGCGCTCCGCCTGGCCCTCACCTTTTCTCTCGAGAACCCTCCGTGGAGGCCCATGGCACTTGCTTGATGTGAAAATTGTGCATCGCTCAGGCTTCGCCTTTCACGTCCTGTCTAGTCTAGTGCTGTCTCCCCACACGTCACCCGGCCCCCTGGGAAGAGGCGCGGAGAGTGGTCAGGAATAGTCTGTCGTTCGACTCTTTTTCCTTGAACGGAGCCTCTTGATCTGTGCAGTCTGATCCCGTGGTGATGTGTTGGCTCGAAGCCGCCCACCCACCGTCCCCCACACTCCGTGTGGCAAAGTGATGGCGGTTTAACGCTGGTGTTTGTGCTCGGCCCAGGCGCGCTCCGCCTGGCCCTCACCTTTTCTCTCGAGAACCCTCCGTGGAGGCCCATGGCACTTGCTTGATGTGAAAATTGTGCATCGCTCAGGCTTCGCCTTTCACGTCCTGTCTAGTCTTGTGCTGTCTCCCCACACGTCACCCGGCCCCCTGGGAAGAGGCGCGGAGAGTGGTCAGGAAAGAACATTGCTTCATATTCGAGTTCATTTGGGTCCTAAGAACAATCTGTTTTACGCCCCTAGGAATGCCTGGACGGTCGGTCCCTGCTCACTCCAGGGCTCCAAGATGGGGTGGGAGCAGGTGGTGTCGGAGGATCGAGCCGCATCGCCGATGCATCGGCGATACATCCCAGACCCCCGACGTCATGATTTTTTGTCAGCGCGTCGACTCCCAGAGGCTTCGACCCCTTCCCCAGGGCCGGGTTCTCCTCCCGAGTCGTTTCCTGACGGCCCCGAGAGGTCCGGCAAGGGCCTCCAGAGGCTGAAGATGACGGGAGACCTCTTCCTCCTCCTCCTCCTCCTCCTCCCTCTCCTCCTCCTCCTCCTCCTCCTCCTCATCCTCCTCCTCCCCCTCCTCCTCCTTATCTCTGCCTCCTCCTTATCTCCGCCTCCTCCTCCTCCTCCTCCTCCTCCTCCTCCTCCTCCTCCGCCTCCTCCTCCTCCTCCTTTTCTCCTCTCCTCCTCCTCCTCCTCTCCTCCCCTCCTCCTCCTCCTCCTCATCTCTGCCTCCTCCTTATCTCCGCCTCCTCCTCCTCCTCCTCTCCGCCTCCTCCTCCTCCTTTTCCTCCTCCTCCTCCTCCTCCTCCTCCTCCTCCTCCTCCTCCTCCTCCTCCTCCCCATGACTCGAGGGGACCTGGGATCGGCGACGCGGCGACCTCCTCGGACCCCACCCTGCTCGGACCCCACGTGGGAGGCCTCTCTGCCAGGCGGTCTTCGCCGGCTGCGGCGGGCACCAGCCAGGCCGGGGAGCCCACAGCAAGAGCGGATCTCGCGCAACAAGGGGGGGGGGGCGGCGGATCGACACAGAGCCCCGACGCCTCCGCCAAGATCAGGTCGACGACGGCCACGACGAGGACGACGCCGCCGACGACGACGACGACGACGACCACGACGACGCCCACAACACCCACGACGGCCACGACGACGAACACGACTACGGCGACCATGACGACCACGACGACGACGACGACGACGACGACGACGACGACGACGACGACGACGACGACGAGGACGACGACGACGACGACGACGACGACGACGACGACGACGACGACGACGACGAGGACGAGACCCCAGGCCCGGAGCCAGAAAAGAGGCCTCTCCTCGGCCTCCGGAGAGGCCGCTCGTCTGGCTGGCTGGGGCCGGCTCTGTGTTTCTGCCGCCCCTCGTGGCCGTCCAGCACCGCGCCGCACGCCGGCCCCGGCTCTCCTCTTGAAGAAGACGTCGCCCGTGCCCTCGTGGCCCCGGGTCACGAGGGCACGGGCCACGAGGGCACGGGCCAACATAACGCCAACGAAACATTGAAAAAACATATGATGCGCGGGACATGGAGATAGACACGACCAGACATTTGAAAATCGTTGACAGTTCCACACCAGAACGGCCCAATAATAGCCACGAGGCTTTGTCTTCCAGGGCCCCGGTCTCCCGGTCGTTGTCTTTCCATCTGCCGGCCTCTTTGTGGCCACCGCCGGCCAGCGCGCCTCCATCCGAGCCGTGCCTCCTGCGTTCGGATTCGGGCGCTCGATTTCCAGACCGTGCTTCCGATATCGTGTCGCCCTCCCCTCGTCGCGTGCGGCCCACCTGTGACACCTTCGACTTTCGACTCATCCACTGGCTGGCGCCAGGCGAGGGAGGGTAGGGCTGCGTCGCTGCGTGACCCCACTGAGTGCAGCGTCAGCGGCAGAAGGAAGAGGAGATGCGAGGATGGGGAGAGGAGGCGGATAAAGAGGTATGGTGAAGAGTGGGGAGGACGTGAAGGAAGCTTGGGTCGGTGAATGTGGATTCCTGTTTTACTGTATTCGAGTGTTGACTGCATGTTGCGTCCTGGCGCAGAGCAGCTCCTCATCTCACACGTCTTCCCGCACTCCTCCGAAGGCGGCTGTCCTCCACGCGGCGGCGGGTGGGGCGGCTGAGGCTGCCCGCACGAGTTGGCAGGCACCGCGTCGTCGTTGTCGTCGTCGTCGCCGTCACAAGCGTCGCCGTCTCCGCGTCACCGCCGCCATCGCCATCGTCGTCGTCGAGATTCGGGGATTGAGGTCCCTGGGCCTTCTTTGTGGCCTTCGCCGGGCCCCGGGGGCCCTCCAGAGGGCCAGGGCACCTGTGGTGTCGTCGTCGTCGTCGTCGTCGTCGTCGTCGTCGTCGTCGTCGTCGAGGTTCGGGGGCCAATGTTGGGGAGTCTTTGGCGCTTGCCGCAACCGGGCCGCGGCGGAGGCCGCGTGCGTGGGCCAGCAGGTCCGTGCCCGGGGAGCCCCTCCCCCCCCCCTCCTGGCACACTCAGGGCAGGACGCGCACGGACGGGCAGGATGGGGGAGGGGAGGAGGAGGAGGAGGAGGAGGAGGAGGAGGAGGAGGAGGAGGAGGAGGAGGAGGAGGAGATGTGCATCCGAAGGACAGTTTTGTTTGCAAGGCCCTGGTGTTCTTCGAGAGTTTCGACGTCTGGTCCGAAGTATCGTCGACACCCGTGGATCCACCCACCTCGCTGGGCCCCCAGGTGAGGCGAGGGGCGAGGAGGGTGCCCGTGTCCTGTGTGACCGCACTGACAGCGTGGACGATCGTCGGCTGAGCTCAAGACAGCTACCGTAGAGGGAAACAATTAGTGGACACTCCACCACTCCTCCAAACTCAAAGTTGGCACGCGCGGGGAAGACTGCGGTCGGAAGTGCAGCTCATTCAACCCACCGCCAACATTGATCATCGGGGGGCGGGGGCATTGATCGATGAATACAGCATGGGTGTCGCTACTTTCTTCCGACGCCTGTACCGATCATCAACTTGCAAGGCCACGGCGCAAGTGGAACGGCCCAACTGGGTTCCCACAGCAGCACCGCCGCGCCGAAGAGCCCTGTCTTCTTTGAGGCGCCAGGCAAGACTGGCCGAGAAAAGGGGGCCAGACTGCTGCAGTCGGGGCCCTGAAGAAGGAACCCTTTTCGTTGGGGAGGGGCCCCGCGTTCCTGAAGTGTTTCACAGCTTGCCCCCAGGTTTTCCTTGTGTTTTTTCGATAGGGAATCGAAGTTTAACTTATGGAAAAAAGGGGCCTCGTTCCTTATTTAGGGTTCCTTAGGTCAACGCCCCGACTGTAGAAGGCACCCCCCAAGCCGCCCCAGCCGGTGCGCCCTCTGGGCCACCAGCGCCGGCCATGGGCACGCCTCCGAGGCGCCCAGCCTGCCCGCAACGCGGTGTGCGCCCTGCGCCCCCCGGGCGCCAGGGGTCCAGCCTCTCACCCGCGGGAGCAGCCCGTGCCTCCCACGTGGTTACCAGCCTCGAACGTATCCCTATCCCTGAGACTGACACGCCAAGAGGAGATGACAATCTTAGGGACACACCCTCAGAAACTGAGGAAATCCCTGAGATCGCCATCGTGATGAGGCGATGCCCAACATAGGGATAGGGATATGTTCCAGGCTGGTAAAGTGGTGTCTGGGCAGGTGGTGTCTGAGGATCGCGCCGCATCGCCGAGGCATCGGCGATGCGGCTCGATCTGGGCCCAGATTTTTTTCGGCGCCGACGGCGCCGAGGCATCGGCGATGCGGCGCGATCCTCCGACCCCATGTGCCTGGACATTTGGGAAGCCCTTGGATCAAGCAGTGGCGAAGCTGTCCTGGCTTGGCCATAGGCCCACCCAAGAATTCTCTAAGAAGCTCTTGTGGTCTGCACGACATGCTCTGAGAACATTTCTGGCTGGCACTGTCCTGGTTCTTCCCATCGGGTTTCTGTTATGAGAACACTGTTCTTGTTACAAGAACACTGCTGGGCTCTAAGATCGGGCCGGACGCAATGGGGGGATTGGGACAGGGGGGGTTACGAAATTTGCTGCATGCAGCTGGTGTCGGCCGCACCGAGGGGCCCATTCCTCGAGACGTAGCCGCCTCCGGCGCCGGGAGGCGCCGGGAAAATCGGCTGCGTGAGCTGATTCTCGACCCCCCCCCCCCTTTGCTATCCCCCCCCTCTCGCCCGACCCGATGAGAGCACGCCGTGGTAGGCCCACGGGAGTGCCTGGACGGTCGGCCCCTGCTCACAGCTGGACTCTGGACGCCCGAAATGGGTACGGAAAGAATGGGTACAATGCCCAACAGCAGTTCCTGTTCATTTTGAACAGGGCTCGCTGTCTGCGCCGCCGCGGCCCGTGTCCATTCGAGGCAGAAGGCCGCCTGCCCAACAGCGGCCGCTGTTGGTTTGGGACAACATTTGTTATTGGGCATTGTGCTCATCTTTTGCGTGCCCATTTCGGGCGTCCAAAGGAGAGCAAGAAACAATAGAAACGTCCACGACTCGCGCAGAGCCCTTCGGGCCGTGAAAGCATCACGGCGCGGTAGGTTTTTGTTCGGCCTCAGGGGGACCTTCCTACAAGGCCTCGGGGCAGTCAAAAAGGGACTGGGGATGAAAAACCCGATCACGACGCCATCTTTTCTGTGCCCATCTTTTCTGTGCCCATTTCGGGCGTCCAAAAATGGACGGGCGCCCCCCCCCCCACGGCCAGCAGCCGCGCCCTGCGGCCTCCGGCGGCCGGCGGAGCGCAGCGCCGTGCGCTCCGCGCGAGCGGCGGGCTCGAGGCCCCAACGCCTCGCCGCGCCTCGCCGCGCCCTGAAGGGGCCCCAGGACACACAAATAAATACACACACAAATAAAAAGATGCCCCATCTTTTCTCCTATTTTTTTGGTGTTTGTCTTCCCCCCCACTTCCCACATTTCTGTACATTTTCCTGGGAGTCGACGATTGATTGTGTCTGTGTGCTTCTTTCCGTCCTGACCTGCGCACAGCTGGACGGTCGGCCCCCCCCCCGTCCGGCAGCCGCGCCCCGCGGCCTCTGGCGGCCGGCGGAGCGCAGCGCCGAGCGCTCCGCGCGAGCGGCGGGCTCGAGCCCCCAACCTCCTCCCTCCTCCCTCCTCCCTCCTCCCTCCTCCTCCTCCTCCTCCTCCTCCTCCTCCCTCCTCCCTCCTCCCTCCTCCTCTCCTCCTCCTCCCCTCCTCCTCCTCCCTCCTCCCTCCTCCCCTCCTCCCTCCTCCCTCCTCCCTCCTCCCCCTCCTCCCTCCTCACCCTCCTCCCTCCTCCCTCCTCCCCCCTCCTCCTCCTCCTCCTCCTCCTCTCCTCCTCCTCCTCCTCCTCCTCCTCCTCCTCCTCCTCCTCCGCCTCGCCGCGCCTTGCTGGGCACGGCGGCGGGCGGGAGCCCTCCGGCCAGGCTTCGGGCACGTCCCACCACGGGCGGGTTTGTTGGGCGAAGTGTAGAAAAAAGAATCGGAGCATGCTCAAACGTGTTCAAACGTGGTCGCAAAGTCGTCCCCAGACCATCGTGTGACTGTTCTTGGGCACTCCTCCTGTAGAGGGACACGCCCGACCTAGAGATATTGCCCCGATTCGGTTGGGTCACCCGCGGGGCCGCTCAGGCAGTGGCGCTTCGCGCGTCGCGGCCTGGGCCAGAGCGGCAGCTCTTCTCACAGGCGGAGGCGCGAGGGCGCGAAGATCAGCGCGCGTCGCGCAGCGCTGGCGCACTGTGCGCGAAGTTGGGGGGGCCTGGGTGCGAGCGGGCGGGGCGTGCGGCGGGCGGAGGAGGGCTGAGCGCAGGAAGAGAGAGGGATGCCACGGCAGACCAGGGTGGAGCCTCCTCCTCCTCCTCCTCCTCCTCCTCCTCCTCCTCCTCCTCCTCCTCCTCCTCCTCCTCCTCCTCCCCCTCGCCCTCGCCCTCCCCCTCGCCCTCCTCCTCGCCCTCCTCCTCCTCTCCTCCTCCTCTCCTCCTCCTCCTCCTCCTCCTCCTCCTCCTCCTCCTCCTCCTCCTCCTCCTCCTCCTCCTCCTCCTCCTCCTCCTCCTCCTCCTCCTCTTCCTCCTTCCCAGGGCAGGGGCTTCCCGACCCCCCATCCCAGGCGGCAGCCGCCCCCCTGCCCGCCCGAGTGGACGATTATGCAAGTGGAGCTCCAGCCGCCCCCGAGCCACTGAGCGGTCCCCACCTCCTGGAGGAGGACTGGTTTTGCTCGTCTGGAGGGCCTCCCAGATGAGGTCCGAGTAGATGGGTTGGGAGGGTTGTGCCGCATCGCCGACACATCGCCAGTGCATCGTCGATGCATCGGCGACGTTTCCGATCCATCGGCGACGTTGGCGTGCAGACAGTCGGGCGAGCCGCATCGCCGATGCATCGGCGATGCACGTGTAGGAGGCCTCTAGCTCAGTACGCGCCTTAGGTAGTGCAGTTGAAGCTTCAGCGTGGATCGAACATGCTCCCCTCGTGCTGGCATGGGCTGGCGCACAGCCTCCAGCCCAGGCAGCAGGCCACTCCCAGCAGCAAGTGAACCCAGGACGATGACGAGGAGGAGGAGGAGGACGGAGCGCGAGGAGTTGCGGAGGCATCTCCTGGAGAGGGATCGTCTAGGGCCCCCGAAAGGGTGTGAAGTTAGGCCCAGGCGATTTCGGAGCGAGGCGCGAGTCCCTCGTCCTACTCGGAAAAGGAGAGGCAACGCGAAAGCGCGAAGATCGTCGCGCTTCGCACAGCGCGGAGCGCGAGGATAGTTGCCCCAGGGCAGACTCTGGCTGCCAGGGCGGAGTCGCTTCGCTCTGGGCCGAGAGTCGCCTGGAGCTCTCTGGGAACTCGTGCCGCCTCAAGGCACGCCCACGGCCACGGCGGGAGGGCCGCTGGCAGGGCGTGCCCTCGTTGGTTGGAAGGGTCTCCAGTGGAGGCCCATGCCAAGAAACATTATGTTTGCCTCCAGGGTGCCCTGGGTTTCTTGGGTTTCGATGGTTTAGCTGTGGAGCGCGTGGCGTTCCCACACCAAAAATCAATGGACGTCCTGGGGTCTCAGGGCTTGGTTTCCTTGTGGAAGGTTTCTTGTGGACTGGCCTCCACTGTAGAGGATTTGGGGGATGTCGAGGGGCAGCAGGATTCACAGCCCACCAAACCACCCCAACCCGACCCGAAGGCCCCGGTGT